CCAGTTTACGTGGAATTGGAAATACACTCAATGCAATTTAAATTAGTCTTAACCATGGTTTGTTGAATAGATTACAATTGATTAGGGTTTTGAAAGCCACAAGTTATGATTCGTACAAATTGTTAAGGATTCGCTAGAACCTAGTTAAGATTTACTGCCTTCATTTGGTCTGTGCTAATATGCAAATAAACAATATCAATTATTGTGAAATTCAATTAAAACAGTGATAACATGCGTTTTGACCATATGTATAGTATGAGGTTTCACCTAGTCCTCCTGAATCCCCACTAAATAGAAGTTTTCTGGTGCTGGATTTGTCTCACTTGCATGATCTATTTCATCTGTTTTAAATGATAGTGAGTTTGCTCCAGTTAGATATCACTGATAAAGTTGAACTTAATTCAACTTCTTAATTTGTACAGGCCCTAAAGAAACATTTTTTCCTGCCCACCCCTCTGCTGTTACACAATTAAATATTTTTTTCCACATGGCCATTTGTTCTTTGGAGTCCTCTCCTCCAATGCTTATCTATACTACCCTATTTCCCCCAAAATAAGACACCCCCTGATAATAAGCCCAATCGCGCTTGGCAATAAGGCCAAGCGCTTATTTCAGGGTTCAAAAAAATATAAGATAGGGTCTTATTTTCAGAGAAACAAGGCAGTTATCTATATTAGTCCTGCATTTGGGAGGTAAGATATTGGAATCTGGTAAAATCAACTATAGGTAATTCTCAAATTATGACAGTTCACTTAGTGACCATTCGAAGTTATGACATTACCCTCCCTCCCCCATGTATTTACAACACAGTACTGAAGTTATGAATGTTGCAGCACCACAGCAGTTGTTCACACTTATGAACGACCCACAAAGGCACTGCAATATTTACCCTGCCTACTCCCCCACCCTGTTGGGTCTCCACAGGAACTGGGCCTGTGGAGAGTCATTTATTTTGTGACGATCTAGCGAGCCATCAGTTTCTTTGCCTGTTTTGGTGCATATGCAGAGAACAGAGACCTAAAGTAGTGCGAGATCACTACTCACACAGTAGTGTGAAATCAGTAGTGTGAGATCTTGCGCTACTGATCTTGCATGATCTCGCACTACAGTACTTTAGGCCTCTGTTCTCTCTGCACTGAGGCCTGCAAGAGATCTGTGGCAAAAGGCATTGCAAAGCCTTTTGCCATGGGTCTGCTATAGACCTCTGTAGAGAACAGGGGCCTAAAGTACTATAGTGCGAGATCACGCAAGATTAGTAGCGCAAGATCACGGCCCCCAGAAGCTTCCAGTCTCGGTACGAAAAGCATTTGCAAGCCAATGGGAGGCTTGAAGCAATGCAATTTTGCTGCCCCAAAGTCTTGTCAGTTTGCAAACACTTTTTTGCACCAAGAGTGCAAGCAGGCAAAGAAACGGCAGCAGAGAGGCTGGAGAGGAGACAGCTTGCTAGATCTTCACAAGGTAAATGACCTGGCAGGGCAGGATGGGGGGGGGAGCAATTGTGGGGACTCCAGGGGAGGGATCATGAGGGTGGGTCCTTGGGTGGATCTGAAGCAGGTGGCCCGTTCCATCGCTAGCCCCCCTCCCCATGGCCTTTCCCACCTGGAGATACCTCATGTGCACTTAATGACTAGTGCATTTGATTAGCGAATGCGTGGGTGAAAGCAGGGAGTGATTACGTTTGTTTGATGTGATTCACTCCAATGAATCCTCCGGTTACAAATGTAAGCATTACATTCGTAACTTGAGGATTACTTGTATTATTTTTATTTTTCCTCCTGCTCACCAGTTAATTTGCTCAGTTAATTATTGATCCAGATGCAAATGAAACAATTTGAGCTCTCTTTGCTAATTATATTTAAGAAGAGTGCACTGTACCAAAAATGAGGCATGCTTCTGAAGCACTTGAAAATAATTAGTTGGTTGTTAAACTCTATAGTTGGTTGCTGATCTTTACAGTTTCCAGTTGTCTTGCCTTCTTTCTGCTGAAGATTTTTAATTGTGTAATTGCCATTTTGTAGTGAGGTACCAATAATATCCAACAATGTGTGTTGAAAATCAGAAATCGGGGAAGAGAAAGTTGGATGTGGGGATAGCTGTTTGCAATCTAATGGCAATATATAGAAGTGCCATTCCTTCTCCCAACCTAAAAAATAAGTAGTTGAAGCTAGAGTAATGTATGCTATATTTGTCTTTGACTATATATGTCCCTCTACATTAGTACTATTCTGAGGTGAATTTCAGAAATTGTGAAACGTCCCAAATGAATCAGGTAGAACTTGGTTACTTGCTCTCTGGCTACCTGCCAGTTGGACAGAAAAGCTTTTTATAACTACATGCTTAAACAGCATCTGATCCGATCACCTCCTCACCACTAAAGCTATAACCATTCATGGTTCCTGATAGAGTCAGGCTGTTGCATCTTCATTCTTCCTCAGTCCCATTCTGCCTCTTTTTCTCTGCTCCCTTTGGTATTGGGAAAGGAAAGTTAGCTAGAGAGAGCCGCTCTCTGGGAAAGTATCCAAGTCGTCACAGAAGTTGAACTGAGACATCAAACTGCCATCAAAACCCCTTTTGTTTTGGAAACGGAGAAGAGGAAGGAAGTCAGCAAGCAAGAGCTGGAAAAGGGAGTTATAAAATCAACTTGTTTCTTTCCATAACCATTAACCAGGAAAGTTGCCCAGTATATGAACCCCCTGCCCAAGCATCTGGGAATGATTAACACTGCAGGCTTATGAAGGCATGAAGGGAAAAATCAATTCCCACAGCCAGAGTAGATCGAGTCTAACACCAGAACCAAAAGATTGCCATATCCCTGAAAATAAACTGTTTGAACTTTGAACAGTACCTGCATCCTTGCCATGTAAATATATGGCTGCGTGAATGGAAAACGTTTTTGGAAAATGGAGTTGACTCATAGGTTTTTTAGGAAGTTGGACTCAATACATCAACTCAGTTTGAATTAAGTCTGGGATAGTGTTGATAGGTTTGCCACACACCCAAGTGCCAGCTTATGTATCAGTAACTGTATAACAGTTTGCACACAATGGCAGCGGATTTGCTGCTAATCTGGGCACATGCCAAGCCTATTAATTCAACTAGTCATAGCACGAACAATCCCAGTGTGTTGAATGAAATGTCTGTTCTGCTTTTTAAAGCTGTGAAGCCTAGCAACATTTTTTTAAAAAAAGTTACAAGAAACAGCATTAAACAACATAATTATATTTAAACTCAGTAAAGTATCAAAAATAAAAGGGTGACATTTTGAAAGAAAAATGGCAAATCTCCACAATGCTTTCAGGAGAGTCAAGGAAAGAAATGAAGCCCAAGGCAACTCTATAAGGCCATTGTCAGGGCTTTCTCACAGACAGGATGTGTGAGTCCTCAATTGTGTAGTGGCAAAGTTGGGCATATGCCAGGGTTCCAAGACTAGAAAAGGGCTCCCCTAAAAACAATGCCACCATTTTTGCTTTGCGCAAGGTATTTAAGAGGATCCAATGAATGTTCTGCTTTTTATAGTTTGCAGGCGTGTGTGTGTTGTGTTATAACTGACGAATCCATAGTTAAGACTCCCCAAATCTGAAATTGAAATTCAAGCAACATGCAAGATGGTAGTTTCTGGATTCATTTTTATCAGTTATTTTTATGTTATCAGTTATGTTTATATTTATCAGTTATGTTGATTATATACTTGCACAATTAATCCACCTTTTACATAATGTAGTAATAATACCTACCTTAACTTATAACTAGTACCTGATAAGTGTTTCCCTCCTGGATTGGACTGATTAAAGTTGAAGTTCAACCTATCAGAAGGAACCAAGTTAGGGAGGACTATAACAATGCAGCCATAGAATTTGGAATGTGTGTAGACAGGTCCACGGAATATGGGATGGTATCAGCAGAGCCATTGGATTCTGATTCTGTCCATTTCTCACATAGACATTTACTGTGGTCTCATTCACAGCATAATTTCTGAGAGATTCCCATTGCTACTTTCAATGATACAAAAGATGATTCACTTTTGAATGTGAATGCTTTATCTGAATGAAGCAGTGGTGCAGTGCTACAAGTGCTTTAATTCCATGGTCCATTCTGGTTTTGTGCAACAAGGGAAAGATAGGCCCAAACTGTCCTGTTGCCTCCCAAACAGAACCCAGAGTAATCTGAAAGTTGGTTTTTGGAGGTTGGAGGAATTGTCAATCACACACTGTATTCCATGCATTACACAGAGATAATCAGGACAACATCATTAAGCAGTGATTCAGAACAAATACAGTAGAGCTCTGGCTCTGGCTAGGGGGTCAGAAATTGGGACAGTAGACAGCAGTTTTCTGCCAACTCAAGCTTGGGTAGGTAGCGCTGTGACTTGCCAATGGAGAAAGATCCATATAGTTGTTCATTCTTGAGTGGCCATAGTTGCTATTCAACTTTAAATGCAGGTATGTTTATTTGCATATATAGTAGTATGTGGCCTACAAGGTCATTAACTGAAGCAATGGCCTTCCCCACCCCCACCCTCCCGGAGGTCCTCCGGAGGCCGAAAATGGCCCATTTGAAATTGAAAATGGCCCGTTTGAAATTGCCAAACGGGCTGTTTTCGGCCTCCGGAGGACCTCCAGGAGGGGGGAGGCCGTTTTCGCCCTCTCCAGACTCCTAGAGAGGCCCTGGAAGCTGAGGACAGCAAAAGGGCCTTCCAGTCCCACCGGAAGTTGTCGAACAGACTGTTTTTGACCTCCAGGGGGTGGGGAAGGCTGTTTTTGCCCTCCCCAGACTCCTAGAGAGGCCCTGGAGCCAGATGAGAAAGAAAAATGGGCCTACTGGGCCATCACATGCCAGGAGTGGGGAGAGCAGGGGGGGTCGCATGCGCAGGGGCGGGGCACATAGAATTATGGGTGTGGGCATGCGGGCGTGTGACTCCGCCCCTCCCTCCTGGCATGTGATGGCAAAAGGATTAGCCATCACTGGGTTAGGGTGATCAATTAATAGTTAATAGTTACTGCTGTCAATCTATGTATTCACACCACAATCACAAGAAGTATTATGGATTACACTAGCTGATTATGTTTGTGGCTGGCAAAAACTTTTTGGATATGAGATTTTAATACTAGTGGTAGGCATAAAAGGAACAAGAACCAAAATTTATATTAATAACCATGACTTTAAATCTGTATTATGTCAACCATTTATGAAATAGTCATGGCCTCAAGAAGGAGGAAAAAATGAATGCTCTTCCAGTTAACAAGCACCTGTGGGCAATTTGTAACAAATTAGGGATTATGTGAAATCATCTACTAGTCTCTTTAATAAAGCATATGTCTGGTATGGTTCCTTGTTTATTTGCATATCTTTGCCACTGTGTTTCATCCAAGCTTTATGTGACTCACAATAAAAAATAAAGGCAGTTTGAGTGAATAAATAATATTTATCTGTGTGTCTAGATCTGATGGTAAGGAAAAATGTGGTTTCAATGCATTTTAGTAATAATATTGGAAGGACTGTAGAAGCAGGAAAACGAGAAAAGTAAGACAAAATATCTTTATAAAATACACAACAAGCTTGGAAAGACATGTTTTGTTTGTAAGAATGAACTTTCACATAATATGTATTTCCCCAAATACAAGTATCAAGAGCTTATCAATGAGAAGGCTATTCTATAATTGTGAATTGTTATATTAAATAAATGATCAATGGGTTTCACAGAGCAATTTATTCCATTCAAATTACAATCACTTGTAATCAATGAAATATCCCTTATTTCTTGTTTAGAGGGGATTCTGCCACTCCTTAATCCTGATACCGAGAAGGCCTTCTGGAGAGAAACCATACATCTAACGTGGTTGTGAGAAGATAGGATTCTGTAAGTATAATGGAGCCAAATACAAGGGGGATAAATTCAGTTTAGCCAATAATGAAAATATTGTGATCGAGACCTAACACTTTTGTCTCCAGAAATCCAGGCTCACAAAATAAAGTTAGGAATTAGAAAGACTGCACTTAGATATTTTGAGTGAAGTAATTTCCAGAGGTATAAATTGGGATATATCCCAGTACTATATGGAAGAATTATGCTATGGTTTTCGCTTTAAAAAGTTGGAATACAAATGTGCATCTTTGGAATGAAAGAAAAAAGCTCTCACAAAAAAACTGACTTAGCTATTCACAAAATAGCCATATCAGAAAGGAATTTGGTGTGAGTGTTCCTTGCCATTTCAGCTAACTCCATAGGATGCTACTTATCTTTTCCTGTTTTTTGTTAGAGCAGGAAGACATACCTCAAGTAAAGATTTGGCTACATCAACCATTTTTAAAATAACTTTCTAAGAACACCTTTGGGACCTAGAAGCATTCAGGGAATAAAATTTACACTGGAGGGTTGTGCTTTATTTTGTGACATGTCCATTTTCCATTTACAGTTAACATAGTATTTAAGAAAATTCATTGGAGTAGCAATCTTGATATATTCTAAGGGCATATTGGCTGCCATTTTGGAGACCAAAAGTTAGATCAGAACTTCAGGAATACAGCATTCTTAGACAAATGCTAAAGCCACCATACCCCAGTTTAGCTAAACATTGACGCTTGGGTTAGGTCTCTCTCTATGTGTCATCCTTAGTACAGTGCTTACATTTTTCACCCTAACTTGAATTCATTATAAGAATACCTATAATGGGCAGCCAACTTGTGCTATTGTCATTGAAAGAGAGTAGTCCACCAGCATTCCATCAGGCTTGAAGCTATTCCTGATGAACTGGATAAAAATATACATTGATATGAGAAAATTCAACTATATATAATTGGCTGATTGAGGATTGGGGAGAGTGATAGGTACATTCCAGTACCAAGGGTACTGAATTTCAAATAGTGAAATTCAAATGCAAAAATAGCCAAAGACTAGTGCTACTTCAAACTTGTAATACATCGATTCTTCTGACTATGGCACCAGCATTTGGGGAAAATATCAGCTTTGCAAAAGTTAAAAATTGTAACAGGGTTTCTTGTGAATATAAGGCATTCAATATAAAGAGTGCAATAGGGCAGAATGAAACCTGTACCCCTTAGCCATATGTGAATGAGAAATTAGTCATATTCAAAGTGATTAGCTGTATAACTTATGTCTATAGAACATGACTCTGCTTGTTCTTTTAACAAAAACTCTTAATTTGATTAACTAATATATGTAGGGCCAAAGGAAAATCCCCCACAGTATCCCTTTTGGTTTAAAAGGCTACATGACTACAAGTCTCACTTACCCCCCCCCCCCCCAAATTGCAATGATCCTGTGAAATACTTTGCTTCTGTTTCTCCTCTGTCTCACAGATATAATAGAAAATCTTAGTAATCCATGTTAAATATATATATCAGTAATCCTGTATAAGTGAGACATTGATAGCCAAAGGGTATCTCATCTGAGAGGTGTAATGTTGGGAAAGAGTCAAGGTCCCTTCCAACTCTGTTATCCTTATTCTGAGACTGTAAGGGGAAAGGAAATAATTGGTCTTTTTTTATAGACTCTTGTTTTGTTTTTTTCAGCACTTCCTTTCTGCGGATGTCCCAGCCAAGCCATATTTGGTCCCAGAGAGAGAGGTCTCCATGTAGTAGAATTGTAACTTCTCTACCACCTGCTTCATCTTCAGACAGTGATTCTGGCTGTGCCCTGGAAGATTATCCAGGTCCAACCACTGAATTTCCTCCATCAGATCCAGTAAGATGCTTTCAGGTCTACATCTTTGTGTGATATATTATTTTTGGTATAAGGTAAAAATTTTCCTCAGGTCAGACTTCTTGATGACTATACACAGAAGATCATTTTTGTCTTCTTCAAACAATATGGCTTGCCACTGCCTTACTCCAGGATGTTTCCCCCCCTCAATTTCACAGACAAGTTTAAAGTTCTGGGATTTTATTTTGATTTCCTGTTTAAATATTCACAAGGTTTAACCCTGCTGAGATTTTTTTCCCCAGATCGGCTAGTGAACAGTGTTTTCATTTGACAATCACTTGGAGTTGTGACAGTAGCAAGGTTGGCTATTGCCTCTGGATCTGGGACCAAGCCCACATCACATGAATCTGTGTAAATACAAGTACCGCACACATGACCTTTTGTCAAGCTTGATTCCAGGAAAGAAAAGAATTTGAAAACAGGTGGATTGTAATCAGGGGTGGATTCTAATTTTTTTTTACTACCGGTTCTGTGGGCGTGCCTTATTTTGTGGGTGTCGCTTGATGGTCATGTGATAATTATTTAGGATTTAGCAGAGGGACTGGTCTACCAGGCTTTTAACTGCTTGCAGAGCTGTACCGATCTACCCATTTATTTTTGCAGGTACTGATCTACTCATGTATTTTTGCAGGCACTGGTCTACCCATTTATTTTTGCAGGCAACTGTCTACTCATTTGTTTTCTTTTAACACTGATCAGCTGTAGGGCGGCCCTTTGAAGCCCTGTGGCAAGAGTTTAAACAGTTTTTTTTCCCTCTAGCCATCAGCTGGGACACAGGAGGCAGCAATAGATTGGGGGTGGGGCCAAATAAAAGGTAAGAATAACGTGGGGGGTGGGTGGGTGGGTGGGTGGGCCCAGAACCGGTTCGGTGACATCATATTGTCACCGCTACCGGCTTGGTGGAACCAGGCCGAACCGGGAGGAACCCACCACTGATTGTAATCAGTAGATGATTACAACTTGAAAATGTAAAATCACTTGAAGATGTAAACTTTCTGGCAGTTTTGAAGCAGTGGGTTCAAATGGAAAGATCCCGTTTCCATTTTGGGGAGCAAAAACTAATGGGAGGAAATTTGAAATATGTGTAATACTTATGGCTGAGTAAGGCTGAGAAAAACTACTCATAATTTTCAGAATTATGAAATGTTGTTTAATCAGTATTCTATTCTGAATTTGAAATTATCAGTATTTTCTTTGTTTGATCATTTATCATTTTCATACTAAAACTATACTGAGGAAAGCTTCACTCTACCCTTGTATCTTCACTTATTTCTTAATTTACTGTATTTCCAAAAAATGTTTTTCTTCCTTTCTTTATAAATTTATTTCTGTTCATTTCAACAATTTTATTGTATAATATAAATAAATGTATTAGGAAATATATTTTTCAGTATTTTTAATTTTCAGGAAAAAGGCTATGGAAAAGTACAGAAAACAAAGGAACTTTTTTAAAAAATCATTTTTGCCCAACTTTTCTGTTCTTTTGGTGAGGAGACTTCCCATCTCAAGTCTTAACTGCTTGATCAAATTCATATGCAGGAGGATAAGTCTAGCTTTTGCCAAACTCTTTTTTCCTAGTTTATGTGCTATACAATAAATGGAAAGTAAATTAGCTCTCCTCCTTCTGTTGGTTTGTTTTAATTATCCCTTCATCTCTTAATGTGGGAAGGACTTCAGATTCTTTTATCAAGCTTAGAGAAGATGACCTGTAAGACAGAGGATAGTGCAGAAAACTCTTTCCCCAATACATAGAAATATCACTGTTTCATTTCCATCTCATTTACTTTTACAGGTATTACAAAGCAGTAGCTCATTTTCATCAGCTGTGGTACCTGCTGCTATTCACAATCAGCTCCGTATTAAAATTCTCCTCTACCAGCTGCCTCCACAAGACTGTGATGTAAGCTTCTTAAAGCCTTATCCAGGGTTTGCCGGGTCTTTTTTACTCCTGCATCACTTGATTGAAGAGTCCTGCTAAAACTATTTTCTTCTGCCCCTTGTTTGCACTGAAAAAATTATTTGGGCTGTCCTTTCTTTTCAAATTCTAGTCATGCAGCTCCATCATCTTTCTAAAAAACAGCAGTAGGAGCAGTTTTCTTTCTCTTTCTTTATATGGTAACAAGGAGAAAAGGTAACCAAACAAATGTTACAAACAGGCCAGTGTCACTTAGGTGAGATGGGTGGTATAGAAATTTAATAAATAATAATAATGCACTAACTTGGTGATTGAAATGCCTGTGGGGGAAAAGAGGGGACGTGTGATGAATTGTGCACAGTAACACAATTTTATTCTTCATGTTCTTACATGCAATGCAAAGTTGCATTGCAGATCATGACACGGTTTGCCATTTTGACATCACTGTGATTGGGAAGATACGTTTGTACGGCCTCTTGTGCCAGAATCCCACTGCTATATGGATCACCAAACTTACTTGCAACTAATGTTCTCATGAAGATCCTCTAGGACAGTGGTCCCCAACCTTTTGGGGCACCAGGGACCGGTTCCTTGAAGAGAGGTTTTTCCGCAGACCAGACAGGATGTGGTTTCATGTGCTACTTGTAATCCGCGGATGGGGCTTCACTTATTTGTGTGGCCTGGTTTCTGGCATGCTGCGGACTGGTGTCGGTCCACGGACTGGGGGTTGGGAACCCCTGCTCTAGGATATTCCGGTCAGAAAGCTAACTCAGGATTTTATTGCTGTTTCCAAGAACTAAACAACTGAAAGGTTTTTGGCTCACTGAAGTAAAGATAGATTCAGTGTCTCTTTCTGTCTACACGGAATGTGCTATCTTTACAAATAAACTCTTTGGGTTCAAATCCACTAGGTAGTAACCAGCTTTGATTAAAGCTATTGTTGCAATGCTGTTCTAATGACTTAGCCAACCCCTAGCACTTTCTTCTTCAATTTGGTACCCTCCATACAGGCAGGACTGACTCCAACATTAATGTCAAAATTAGCACTCAAATATTAAAGAGATCACTAAATTGGGACATACTGCCCAGTGCCCACCGTGTAAATTTTTTCCTTCCAAATAATGTGTATTGGACAAAAATAGGATATAGAGAAAAGCCAAGATGTAATCCTGTATCTATTAATTTAGGAATAAGTCACATTTGACATAGTAGGATTTCTTCTGAGTAGATATGTATAGAATTTCAGAATCGTGTTAGAGAAAAAGAGCTAAGAGTGTAGAGAAATGAGCTGCCAACTAAATATAGCTTTGGAGTTTATTGTTAACATATACATGATACGTCTTGACTAATAAGATAACTATATGCAGCAAGATCTTCATTTAAATATTTACAAGCCAATTTTTTTTAACCAAGCCGACCAAAGTCATCGAATAAAACACAAATGTGAAAATAAAATTACGTCATTATAATAAATGCCTATGCAGATTCTCAATCATCTAGGCCATGGTTGTTCCAAAGTTGCTTTTCAAAAGGCAACTGGACTTTCTTGGATTTTTTTTTTCCTTCAAAACATTTCACTTCTCATCTAAGAAGCTGAATGAGAAGCAAAATGTTGTCAAGGAAAAAAAAACACAAGTCTGAAAAGAATCTTTGGGTATTACAATAAAACTTCAAAAATATTTGCAACTTGATCAACATATGTCTGTTTTGTTCCTGCATCTCAAATACACATTTTTATCTAAATGCTTTTTTTGGATCTTGGCACCATTTTTGCTTTTTTTAATTTAAGGAGAGATATTGTCCATTCATCGGTGAAGAGGAAAGAAAGCAACTCCGTACCTTTGCTGCATGGCGGCGACAGGAATCGCTGGGACAGGGAGTTTTACGTCATCTGCCTTTCACAGCTCAAGAGTACCTATGCAGAAATGTGAGCTATTCTTACCATGATATTGGACATATTATCAAGTTGTCTGGACTGATCTCTAGCCCTGTTTTCCTTACTTAGTGTGATCTTTGCAGTTACACTAACTTTGGATATGGTAACAGGTGCAGGTGGAAGTTGTAGGTCCTTATGTCAGAGAAGGTATATTTGAAAAAGATATAGGCAGTGTTTACTGAAATCTTAGAAATGCAAGAAATGACTATATAATAATTGTACTGGTTGGAGGAACACTGAGTGGTTGTCTCCTCTGTTATAAAAACCAATATATATTAGACAAAACAGCAAACACTATAGAACTATATGCAGAAAAAACAGCTAGGCAAACAAGTGCAATTTGCTAACATTGCATTATACATGTTCCTTTCACTCACAATTTAAATTGCCTGGGTAAAATAATTTGATTTTAATTGTTGAATGAAAGCATGCATAGCAGTCTTAATAGTTTACAGATGGAAGAAAGTTATAATTAAGGCTAAAGATAAAGAAATTATTTCTGCTTGATTTTTAGTGTGATATGAATATAATCAGAGGAGACCAAGGTGTATTTGCCTCTAAGCTGGGCGAACAGTGCTGGTGGCATCCTACCTGCTTTGTCTGCCACATTTGCCAGCAACCACTCATAGATCTAATTTACTTCCATCGAGATGAGAAGATTTTTTGTGGTCGGCACCATGCAGAATTTTTCCGCCCTCGCTGTGCTTCATGTGATCAGGTAGGTATGTTTGTGCTTTTGTAACTAAATCAACTGATATATCTAGCCTGGCCATTTCCAAATCCAGATTGATAAGACTGGAGCTACAATCCGGTTACCCATAGGAGAGCATTCATGATATAGTGGGATTTTTAATTTTTCCCCATCATAATTGGAGAGATTTTATTTTGGAGATCTAACCATATGTGTGTGTATGTGTGTCAGTGGTGGGTTGCCCCTGGTTCACACCGGTTCTATAGAACCGGTAGTAAAACCAGCGGGAAGCTCCGCCCACCAACCCCAATGTCATCAAAACGCTTCTGCGCATGTGCAGAAGAGCGCATGCGAAGCAAGTGTGTGCTGCCCCCCTGCAAACCGGTAGTAAAGGTAAGTAGAACCCACCCCTGGTGTGTGTGTGTGTGTGTGTGTGTGTATGTATGTATATATATATATATAATAGTATACGTATGTAGAAATTCCTAAATTTGCTTTCCTTAACTTTTTTGATTATATATATAGTCCCCTGTAGAAATTCCTAAATTTGCTTCCCTTAATTTTTTTGATCTTGTAATTAGGAATAGGGAAGAAATTAGAATATACAGAGATCAATGTGTTATTAGTGGAGTTTCAGAATTCTTTATTCTGCTGAGAAACATCAAAACAGGCAAAAGTAAACTAAGTGTACATATTTAACATGGTTTCAAGCCTGATAACTTTGGAGATATATCTAAAGAATAGATTATGACCTATTTGATATATATTAGATATTATATTTTAGCACTTGGATTGTTGTTGTGTTTTTATTTTGTGAGCCGCCCCGAGTCTTACGGGAGAAGTGCGGCATATAAATTTGAAAAATAAATAAATAAATAAATAAATATCAAGAGAACATTATCAATTGGATAAATATGGTGTATTTTTAAGCAGAAAGCTTGATTTATAGGATAGGGTCATTGCAAAGAGTTGAGTAAATAATAGTTCCGTAGCCTGTGCTCTTACCTTAGGAAGATAACTGAACTTGGTACACTGTGTACTTCATCTTAATATGTAGTTCATAGCAATATGAGTTTTCATCTCTTATGTCTCTTCAGCTGATATTCACCTCCGAGTGCGTGGAGGCAGAAGGCATGCGCTGGCATGAAGAACACTTTTGCTGTCTCGAGTGTGACTTGCCCCTGAGCATTCAGCAATATGTGATGAAGGGTGGACAACCCTGCTGTTGTGCTTGCTTTGAGAGTCTTTATGCAGATATCTGTCAAGCCTGTGGAGAGATTGTTGGTAGGTCCAGAATCCTTCTGTAGACTTGAGGAAAGTATGAACCTGCCTCAGATCATCACTCCATCTAGATCAGTGCTGCCTATTAAGGAGTGAATCTGGCATGTTCTTGCAAGCCAAGCATGTGCACAGAATTTACGGCCCTTCCCGTTTTTCAGAAGTATCAACTTGCCTAAAGATTGCCTGAATGTTACTCAAAGGTTACTTGGGACTACGTGATTGTAAAGATACACATGGGCATTTACTGGAGAAGATAATGGGAGGGGGAAGTGACATGATCAAGATACAACATGATACAAAATGTGCTATTTATAGATTTGCACCCCAGCTACCATATGCAAATACGTAACAATATAATTCATTTTATGCCATCACTATTGGCATTTGTGCATGCCCATGACTCAGAGTTTGGTCTGGTATATATTTTAATTATTATGTATTTGGCATCCATAGTGTTATGAGAAAAACGCTCACCTAAAAGGAGAACCAAAGCATTTGAAGATAGAAGCAACAAAGCATACTTTATTGGACATAACTTTTAGTGATCACTGGGCTCCCTGCCAACAAACTGAGGTTCTGCAGTAACCCTACTCTCCAGATTATATCAGTATTGAGATGAGATAAATACATTAATACAATTATACAGCATCTTTTCCTGTGGAATGTTTTGATAAGCTATTAGATTGACCTTACTATTACTTTTCACACGTCTAATATTCTTCATGATGTTATCAATATGTACCATAAACATCAGTGTTTCAATGATGATCTCTTGTGATTTGCCTCTAGGTGTGTAGCATCTGTGTAACATTAGCTGTCTCCATTTTAAGGCCATACCACTAGGTGTTAGGTTCTAAATTCAAATTATTGCTACCAAGCTACACAAAAAGCTAAACGTTTGCAAAGGAAATTGACAACAAGCTTTAATATGCTCTTTATCACCACAATAGATAGTTTGTGTCTAATTTAATAATTAGGCCAACTTCTCCTTACAATTCTTATTGTTGCAAATATAAAAGTCTGTTATACAGTTTACTACAACTAGATCTTCCATTCTGCTATTTGCAACTCAAGGTGTTACCTTCAGTTACAGCTGCTAGGATCAGGTCATATTGTTTAAAAGCAATAACCGTAGTAGTAAGCTAAACAGAATTACATATATATTGTAAGTATTTTACATAATGTGATAGTTGCAATGCTAAATATGTATTTTGCTTTGCTTTGCTTTGCTGAATCAAATGAAAATCTCAGTACAAACTCGTATCACTGAGGAGCTTTCAAATAGTGTAATAGGTGTCAAGCATATAGTAATTTTAGATTTATTATACCTCTGAATAATATGGTTAACTGCTTATGATGACTATAAATTATAGTTCATAAACTAGCTTTCTCTGGCTTTGACAGATGCTGATACTGGGGTTCATTCAGTGGATTTTGTGGCTGTTAGCCATTGGTTTGTGGCTGGAATCCTATATTTACTGTCTAGGAATAAGTTCCATTGAAATCTGTGGTTCTGAGTGAGTGGTTGTTACTGAGTGAGATAGTGTTATAATAGGGATTTAATCTGTTTTCAAAGCCACCTGATAATACAAAATTCTGGAAGTTGTGATTCAACAACAGCTGGAAGGCCAGAGGTTCCTCTCCCAAGATATGAACCAAGAAAAGTAAAAAGCAAAAGAGTAATATAGTGCTGCTATATAGATTTGTGAAGTTTGGACAAGATTCACAATGTTAAAACTTAATTTAGGATGCAATGCCGCTTCATGTTTATAAAACATTCTGATTTAATATTAATCTTGTGTTGTCTTTTGTTTACACATTTTGAAACTTGAATTTTTATTCTATCTTTTAAAAGTCTGCAAAATAATGGATAGATTGTTCTTAACCAAGTTAGGACATAGTTTTCCAGCAACACTGCAGGAGGTAAAATGCTTTGTCAATTACTCTCTTCGCACAGGTGTCAACAGTAAACAGATCGTACTACAAGGTCAACACTGGCACAGCAAAGACTCGTGTTTCTGTTGCAGCCTTTGCCGTAAAGCACTGCTGGGTCAGCCCATCACCATTCACAATGGTCTTCTCTTCTGCTCTGAGGCCTGTAGTTTGGAAAAGGAATCAGCTTTGTCTTCCAGTGGCTCGGATTCCTCTGACTCTGCTTTCATCTCTGCCCCATCCCCGGACTCCACCCCAATTTCAAGAGCTAGAAACAGCAGCCCTGACGGCTCCTCTGAAACTACAAGACCGCAAAGAAATGGCCGTGAAGAAAGGGCAGGTGCAGTTGGTAAGGCTTTTGCATATCATCCTCTAGAATTTTGGGTGGAACAGATGCTATTTGATCCTGCCCAAATGAAGCTTTTCTCTTATTGAATCTTTCTTCAGTTTTGTTTAAGATTCTGTAGGTAATATAACCTCAATATACTTCCACTGAGTTTCCAACTAACCTCTATCATCACTGCACATTTGAAGGCAATCTATGCCAGAGTACTGTAGGAAGAAGGCAGCTGACAACTATTATCTGTCTGTTCTCACTACTCAAGAGATTACAGATGAACTTGTGCTAAGAGGCAGGAAATTATAGGAGGTTCTAGGGCAGGGGTGTCAAACTGGCGGCCCATGGGCCGGATGTGTCACAACCAGCCCACGTCCATCCCAGGTCCGTGAAGGGTAAAAACATTGCAAAATGTCATGTGACATGGCAAGTTTGACACCCGTGGTCTAGGGCTTCAGAAATAGCCAACCAATCATTGGCTTGATGGTAGTTTCCAATACAGACAACAATGGCAATAATAGTAGAAATTGTACCTTTGGATGAAAATGACCATATAATACTGGAATTCTTGAAATTAGTGGAAGCTAACACTGGGTGTACTTGATTACATATCTTGGATGTCAAAAAAGCAGATTTTAATGAATTCAGAACAATAAATATTAGGAGAAACTGGGAAAGATAAGTAATTTATAGAACACAAGTTCTTAAAAGCACAATTGCAAAGAATTCCAATGAAGAAAAAAATATAGATAGCAGAAAAAGCCAATATAATTTCCCAAAAAACTTAATGAAGGTCTGAAAAGTTAAAAAAGACACTCATTAAGAGAGAAGGAAGAGGCTTGCAAACGGGGACATATAGACATGTTGATGAGAAAACCATAATTAAAGATGCTAAGAACAATCAATCAGTTATATTTAAACGCAGTGTTCCAGTTGTTCCATGAATAGCACATAAAACTAAGAGAATAACACAAAAAGGGCAGAATTAATTGACTCCTCTTTTCAGTCAGTCTCTTCTTCAGCCAATTATGAAGAACTGTTTGGAGAAACAGATTTCCAGTTCTAGTTTGATAAAAAATATAAGGAATTGCCTACTGAATTTGAATGAATTCAACTGGAATATAAAAGCAATTTGCTGATGGTCTGATCAACATAAGTGGTGGATTATATATGATTATACATTCTCTTTGAGAAATCCTGCAGAACTAGTTTAGCAAATGTGGTTACAGAAGGACAGTTATCTCTATCTTCAAAAACTGAAGAAAGAAGAATCCAGGGAACTACAGACCAGGCCAAATTCTAGGGCAGATTATACAGTCACATTAGTAGACTCTAACTGAAATGGTAATCAAAATTTAAGACCAGTTTAAACTAGAGAAATGAAAAAATTTCTCTGAGTTTTCCTTTGACTGGGTTTCAAACACAGGCTTTAAATTGGATTCCCACAATGAACGGGACTCTGTAACTTAAATGACTTCAACTCAATGAATCTATGAAATGGCTTCAAAGAATAACTGGAACCTTTAGCTGAGTTATAAAATGCAAATCCATAACGTCTGATTTTGATTCTGTGTGGTACATGAGTTTAGACGTAGTTTCTAAGGCATGATATATGTCTTAGCAAATTCTGTGAATCAAGCTTTTATAGTTTATTCAACAAACCAGGATTAAAAAAGTAATGCGTGAACACACCTGTATGGAAATTTCAACCTCTTGCTAATTCATCGATACCAGCAAATGGTTATTGGAATGTTTTCTAGGAATAAATTCAGTAATCAGGATCACCCCCACTTCTCATAAATGCTAACATTTAATTCCTTTTGCAGTGACTGAAAGGCTTCACTCATGTGGGAATTCCTCAGTGTATGCAGAGTTTAACAGCCAGGAGGAATCAGTTTCTTTCAGAAATAGAATTATCACCCCACAGCTTCATATATTTGAGTCATTGACTGTTTCACCTCAAGAGGATGTACAAATCTCCATCTCTCATCCTATGGACACAGCTTGGAGCACCACAGTTGTGAGGGATAATCGCAACTTGGAAACATATTTTCAAGAAACATCTCAGCCACAAGCGGACTTCCACTTCAAAAGCAGGCACTCTGTAGCCTCACAGGCATCTGTATTAATTATGGATTTTCCAGACAGAATACATGAAGGCAGCACTGGGGAACAGGAAGCTACTGTGGAACAAGATGATTCCAAGTACCTCACTTGCTCATCCTCATCCTCTTCTGACTCTGAGCCAGAAGGTTTCTTCTTTGGGAAGCCAATTCCAAAGCCTGGTTCCAGATGTGGAACTTTTGCCAACATGGAGCAGGAAACACTTGGGAAAGGAATGGGGTGGGCTGCCAGAGCAAGAGTCAACAGCAAACACTGTAGTATATCCTAGCAGACAGGCAATGATCAGCCATCTGAAGAAGTAAAGCAAATGGGGAAGACACAGTAATGAAAGCAGATCACCTTCTGCAATGAATAAATTAAAATTAGTATCAGAAACCTGCTCAAAGATGCACGCGTGCATGCATAAATATTCCATTCTCTTCCTGCTGCAAGGCTGATAATTCTAAGTCCAAAAAGCAGATTAAAAAATCAGCATTTGTTTTATAATTTTGGATGCCAGATAATTATTTCTAACGAGTCAGCACATTTTTATTAAATCAAAGTTAGTTACCATCTTGGCTAGAAGAAGACCTCTAAACCACTTTTATTTGGCTCACTCAAGAGTTTAAAATTAATTCTTAAATTTTCTTCATCACATAAGATAGCTGCTGAAGAAAGAAAAAAAATACTACCTGCTTCTCAGACTATAATCTATATTACTGTATTTAGTTTTGATGATATTGGGGAAAAGTTACGGTATTCAACCTTGGCTCTGACAAGTACCAGGAATATTTCAGGTTGACAAGATGATTATTCCAAGTTTGCTCCGAAGAAACAAACCACTTAATGCTCTTTCACCTGTCAAGGAAACAGGCTTGATCTTATACTTGTTTTCTGTACTTAAGATGTTTTTCCAAAACATTCTGCTACAGGACTTATTTTCATGCTGACTCAGATTTCCTATCTCAGCATCACATACAGCCTCATTTGAATGTCTGCAGCTGACTCCCACACTCCATCAAGACTGTTAATTAAACACACACTTGTGGTCGGAACATTAAGTCAATGTAACAAACGGGGGCCTCCTATAGCAGCAGTACTGATTGGATGTTGCTTACTATATGTTATTACACAGATTTGTATGTTCTGGAAGTTAATGAAATAAAATACAATTTCTCAAATAAGATTTGAGGTTAATGTCATACAATGAAATTAGTGGGTCGGGAATTGAAGCAACAGCCTCCAGAGATTTTAATATTTTCAATTCAATGACAGGCTAAGAGCGAGTTCAAAGAAAAGTGGGCGAGGTAAGTGGTTTGGAGATGTGATTCACTTTTGGTGGAGCATACAGAGAGTTTGACTATAGACAAGAAAAATAGAAAAATAACATCAGATGTGGCATTGAGGCCTCTTGTCAAGACCATAAGAGGCGAAATGTATTAAGGGTGATAGTTACAACAATGAAGGCAAAGGTTTACATTCATACACATCACATACGCATTCATGCTGCTAAAAGGGAGACCCTTTTGCATAGTTACACTTTGCTTGGGAAAGATTAATATGAGAAGATGATGTTCTTAACTGAAAAAAAAGAGGCAGAAATTAGGAAAATAATTACCTTTCCTTTGGAAGTCTAGGCTGAGGTATGGGCCCTGATGTACTGGAAGCTGGTGCAGCTTCTTGGAATTTATTTTTAAAAAAGCAAGCAGTGTTTTCCTCTGACTCAACTGTTGACAGCCATTTTTATACTTCTCTTGTGGAATTAAGTCAATTAAATCAAAACCAGATTCTCATTTCAGGATTTGAGAAGTGGTCAGGAGTCAAAAAGAAGGAATGTTGTTTTCCTTCAATTTTGCTAGGCTGAAGGAAATCAAAAGGATGGTGATTTTGTAGCATAATGATCAATGTTTTCATTATTTTAAGAAAATGCTTTCTTAAAGTGAAGGCTTGATAAATTTGGATACAAAGTCGAGATAGATTCAATCTTTTTATGTCAAGTTCAGTATCAGAAAATTAACTTCTGCATAAATACTGTACGTAGCCTATCTGATGAATCTTTATAGCTATTTATAAAACTTCTCCCCTTGGACAGGCTCTGCAATATAAATGTTAATTGGAGGATGGAAAATGTTAACATTTGTGGTAATGTTTCTGGAAGCTCATATATCAGATCTTGGAGCATCTTCATTGGGTTTTAATAGAAATAGAAAACATTTTTCCAATGCTTTTGCCAAATTAGAAATTACACTGTAGTCATTTACATAGCCAATTATTTCAACAGTGAGTTAGATGGCAAATCAAGAGTGCAGTCAACCAAAAAAGGATCAGAAACTGATTCTCCTTGAGCTAAATTATGGTCGGTATATGATCAATTTTTAATACTGCTTCAAACTAGTGGTAAGACAAAATTTTAAGGGAAGGTGGAGAACAATTGTTATGGGTTAGACAGCAGGCAGTGAGATCTGCTCCTCTTACCGGTAGTGGTGCTATTATTGGATGCTGCCTGCCCATAAGGGAAGTGCTCAACTGAACATAGACCAAACCAATGTGAGGCCCAGGCAACAAGCCAGTCAGGTAGAGGTTTTTGTTGCAACCAGTAGATTTACAGTCATCTCCATCGAAATGCAGACATTACCCAGCTGCACTTGGTAGTGCAAGATACTGTAAGTTCGAATCTCACCAGGCTCAAGGTTGACTCAGCCTTCCATCCTTTCTAAGGTAGGTTAAATGAGGAGCCAGTTTGTGGGGGCAATAAGCTGACTTTGTATAAATATACAAAAGTATGAAGGCTATTGCTTAATGCATTGTAAGCCGCCCTGAGTCTCCGGAGAAGGGCAGCATATAAATAAAATTAAAAATAAATAAAAATGTTGTTTGTTGATCTGAAAAGCAGACCCTGCTTCTGTGGGAATAATGGTAGGAAGATGATAAAATGGGTTAGACAGCAATTGTTGCTTATATTGGATCTTGCTAAGAAGCTGTATATGCTAAGAGCCTTGATGGTACAGTGGTCTAAGCACCCTGTTATTAACACAGCTGCCTGCAATTACTGCTGGTTCGAATCTCTCCAAGGCTCAAGGTTGACTCAGCCTTCCATCCTTTCTAAGGTAGGTGAAATGAGGACCCAGTTTGTGGGGGCAATAATCTGACTTTGTATAAATATACAAAAGTATGAAGGCTATTGCTTAACGCATTGTAAGCCGCCCTGAGTCTCCGGAGAAGGGCGGCATATAAATCAAATTTTTTAAAAAAATGGATTCAATGCTATTCCATTTTGGGGGGTTGTCCTATTGTCTCACCTATCATCCATACATTTATTTTTGCTATCTTTCTTTGTGTGAAAGGTCCCTTAGCTGATCTGTCAAAATCAGGGCAGGGGGCTCTTGTAGGCCATTCAATTTTCTTCCAAAAATAAGATACAGAAATTTTCTAGTTCTAAGCCATGCTGCAAGCCCAACATAGCTTGCAAATGCAAGTTTGCAGAAGGTCATTTGTACCACATGAAATTAAAGAAGGAGCAACATACTTTATGTATTCTAATGCAGATAATGAGATAACATGATCTAAATAAGCCCTTTTATTTGGTCTACATAAAATCTTAAAACCCTATGGTGGACCTTTATTTACTGTCCAAAGTTCCAGATAGAGATATATTGAAAAGATGCCGAGATAAAGAAAAATTGAGCCTGCCTTCATTATCTTATTTGACTGCTTAACTTGGTAATCTCAACCAGAAGTTTAAGAAATATATGTTTGAATAGGGACAACAACTTGAAGTCAAACTCACCAATAAAGGCAGCTCTAAGAGATAAATTGTCTCAAAATGATTTTATTTTTTCTTTAAAAATACTACTTCATAGATTTAAAAGAAGCAAATACTATTTTCACCAGGGCTTCTCTTGAGTATTACTGGACCATCACAGAACAGAGACCTCTAGCTTGCTTCTGCACAAAGTCCAACATTCAAAACTGCTCAACAGTATTTTTAATAAGCTAAAATAAGAACTTCTTCCACATTACCAAGAACGTGAAGCTTCCATATAACTCAAAGTATAAATCTTAGTAGATTCTACTTCTATTCCAGTTACCACCTGACCTGAGTTACCTGAGCCATTCAGAATTCATTAGGCATCACACTCATCTTTTTACCCTTTTTGCCTCCCATTTTTCTCTTCCAAAGTCCTTGGATTGATATTACAATAATACATTCAAGTCTTCTAGCTGTCACTTCTGCACCCTGTAGCTGTTGCAGGAGAAAGTGGTTTCTCAGCTCTACTGCCAAAAGGCGTCCTTCTCCAAGGCCATAGTTTATCCCGGGCTTGAAGAACAGAAAGCTTCCTCCTGTTTATTGTCTTAGAAAAAGCTTCAGGTACATTAGGTAGATTTGCCAATGTCTTCTCAGCTGGCTTCAGTTAAGCTGTCAATGTAGTTCTTTAGCAGACATTCATAGTAGTCTCCAATCTTTCTCAGGTTAGCTCGTAGTGCTGAGCTCATTGCTTCTATCATGCAGGGTTCCTTTTCCACCAGCATGATGGCTATTACTCCAAAGTTGAGAAGGACCTGCAGGTAGGCCTAAAGTGAAAGACCAAGTTCCATCAGGCCAATGAACAAGCAATGTATTTTTAAGACCACCCTACTGAATACCCTGTCTATAATTATTGGGGCAGTGGCAATGATCAGAAGCGCATAAAACGGGGTGAAACCAGTGGTGAAATCAATTTTTTTTACTATCGGTTCTGTGGGCAAGACTTGGTAGGCGTGGCTTGGTACGCGTGGCAGGGGAAGGATACTGCAAAATCTCCATTTCCACCCCACTCCAGGGGGAAGGATACTGCAAAATCTCCACTCCCACCCCACTCCAGGGAGGATATTGCAAAATCTCCATTCCCACCCCACTCTGGGGCCAGCCAGAGGTGGTATTTGCCAGTTCTCCAAACTGCTCAAAATTTTTGCTACCCATTCTCCAGAACCTGCTGGATTTCACCTCTGGGGGAAACAGACCTAATAATAGATGAAAGTAAATATGTATTATTTGTTTTTAAAAGCTTCAAAGTAGAGAATGCACAAAGCATCCATGTTTGCAAATTTTTGTCCTTGTTTTTTTCGCTGGAATAAACTGGATATGATATGCATTTGGATAGTAGCAGTATTATTTCAAATGATTAGCATTCAGATGAATCTGCTGAACCACAATGAATTCAGTATATAGGTAACACATGGGGTGTCACAGCCCCATCCACATTTGGAACATCACTGAGCTCACCTATGGATGTAACACTGAAAATATATGCTGATTGGGCAGAAAAGATAAATTCTTTGAAACAAAGGTTGTCAACTAGATTCTGAAAGTTATTCTTTTAAAGCAGGGGTGGCAGAGCTGGGCCTTCTGAAAAACCTCTTCTAGGAGCCACAGTTCATGGCCAACTGTGGAAATGTTGATGATCATTGTTCAGCAACTTCTGGAGTATTAAAGGCAGGTGTATTGAGTAAGAAAGATGACCTTGAATGAAACATGCAATATCACCTGCATATTTTCATCAGGGTCATCTTCCTTTCCTATTCACTATAAACAAACCATGAATTCTCAGAATCTAATTTACAAATTAGGATTTAGGGTTCGTAACATGTGCTTATGTTCCCTGATTCTGTAGTTCTTGTTTATAGTCTCAGCTACAGTACAAATGGCTTGAAAATAAATAAACAAATGCAAAGAAGCCCAATCTTTAAGCAGGCAGTTGAAATGCACAAGCTAAGTCCTCCGACTCCAAAACTAGTTTTCTGAGGTCGTCTTCTTTCTTTCCTCTCTACCATTTCTTTTTGTTATCTTCATCCAGTGGTGGGTTTCAAAATTTTTTACTACCGGTTCTGTGGGTGTGGCTTGGTGGGCATGGCAGGGGAAGGATACTGCAAAATCCTCATTTCCTCCCGATCAGCTGTGACTCGGGAGGCAGAGAATAGATGGGGGTGGGGCCAGTCAGAGGTGGTATTTATCAATTTTCCGAACTACTCAAAATTTTTGCTACTGGTTCTCCAGAACTGGTCAGAACCTGCTGAAACTCACCTCTGTCTTCATCAGTCATGTTTGGGAACCAGTGGGGAAGCTTCTCCTTACCTGTTCAAGCTCTTCTTTTCTTGCCAGCACTGCTGCAGATCGGTCTTTAGGAGTCCAGGATGGGACTGAAGAATTAGTTTCTTCTTCAGCATTAAGGTGGCAAGGAGAGCTTGTTTTCTTCTTTTTTGTTGATGACTGTATCAATAAATTTCCCAATGAGATTTGTAGTTAACAAGGCTAACAACAGCCTCCCCAATTTAAAGAAACTCCTGCTGCAAAGCGTTGCGTAAAAGTATGTAAAAAATATTCATATTTTGTATACTTAGGAAAAAGGTGGTCTATAATAAGGAGGTCTATAGTAAGGAGATATAGTAATCTGAGGGGTCCTTAATCTTCAGACCAACAATCAAGTAAGCAATACCCCAATCAAGAAACTGCCAAAGAGCCATCAGTAAACCGCCAAATCACAAAGAATCCCTAAGGCCACCCCCACCCACACAGACAGGCAAGACATCAGAATATAAACTGACAATAAGCAGCCCTCCTTACTAGAACTGGTGATGTTACCTAGTTAGGGTAATGAAATGTTTGCAAGAAAACAAGCAAGCTCAGGGAGCACCAAGAGTCCCCCGTTTCAACTATAAGCTACAAATAGTCTCCTTTGTCGATATAATAATTTTGCTGCAAAATAGATCTAACTTTCTAGTATAAGTGGTCCTTGAGTTATGACTGTAAGAAAGCCTGCACATTAGGGTTGAAAGTCAGGACAAATGTTAAATGAACTGCCTCAAGTAATGACCAGCCATCTCTGCTCTTTCCAATGCATTTGTTAAATGAACAGACAGTTCTCTAAGTGCAGCATGGGATGCCGGGGGAGATCCAGGAAGGCCTAGTGCAGGCAGAAACTGACTTGCCTTGGGCCTCCCAAGGCTTCCCCCATCTCAAGATACCCTGTGTTCTGCTTCCCATCTCTCAAGTGGCTCTCACTGAACAGTAAACAGCTGTTTTGCCAGCAAGAAACAAGGGGGAAGGAAAACACTGGGCTCCCCTGTCTTTCTTGGTCCTGCCACTGCCCTTCGTCCTGCCAAGTTGCCCCTGCCTTTCTGGTGCCCAAAAAGAACCAGTTCCCTAGCCTTTGAGAGCTTGCTGCGGGTTAGAGAAATGAAGCTCAGATCTTTGGAATCTGAGCTTTGTTTCTCCAGCCCAGCACAAGAATTCTGTTCCATGCATGGAGGGGAAATCCTTTTGCTGATGGCAGCAGCTTGCAACCTTCCCTGCTGGCTTCCCCACTGACTTTCTGGGGAATTCAATAGAGAAGACTGTTAAATGGAGATCACATGATTGTGGGGCGCTTGACAACCGATTGTGAATGGTTGCCAAGCATCCGGATCACAATCATGTGACTAGGGGAGGGAGCAGCAGGATGTTTTATGAGAACTGGAAATGCTTTATGGACTGTAAAGGATCCTTTCTGAGATGTTTTAACTTTGAATAGTCGTTAAATGACCAGTTATAAGTCAAGGACCTGTATTGGGAGAAACTAAATGTAAATTAAAGGGAATTTTTGGATGTTAACTTTCACTGACAATTGTGCAAATGAACTAATTTGTGTCAGTTGCATGATGAGAATGATGTACAATACTTAATCTCATCATTCCTGTGATGACGTTATGACATGTGACAACATTCTCCTTTACTCCCCACAGATGTCTTGCATACATATGAATGTTCACACAATCAAAAACATGTATATAATTAAGATATGGCTTATTTCACATAACATCTGGAAATATGTATTATAAATTACCTTCAAAGCCTTTCTTCCAGTCTTTGATGTTGCTCTTTTTTTCTTTTTAATTACTGGTATCTTAGGTTCCACCACTTGTCTGCTCTCTATTATTTCCTTTTCATTCTATAGGCCCAGAAGGAGAAAAGATTGTGTCAGGATCCAAAAGGGAAGTACTGAGATAATACCAGAAAGCCACTTGTCTTAAAAAAAAATGGAGCAGTGTATTTTCCACTGACATTTATTGCCCAGTCAAGATAAGTAAATAAAATTAAAAAGATATTTAGCTGTATGAAAAAATTTAGATATCACTGGTTAAATTATATGCTTCAGAGAAAGGTTTTGGAATGGACTTCATAGTCTCCAGATTTGAATATTACTGCAACTTGTGGGAGGATTTCAAACATGCAGCAGACATGAGGAGTCCTAAGCATATTTCTGAGCTAGAAGAGTTTCTTGTTCTGTAAGGAAGAATAGTAAAAAAACCAAAAACACACAAAACAAATGAAAATAAACATAAACCTTTCAAAGGCAGAATAAAAAGACACTTAACTGCTTATAAGAAATGTTTAGAAGCTAATACTTCTCCCAAAAAAGATGTTATAAAGGGTGTTCAGACTTTTACACCTACAAATTCTCTCTTTTCTAAACAACTGCACATAAATAGCAAGATTGCATTTAGATTCGCAGAAAAATATGTTCACTATGCACCATATGGAAATTTGTCAGCATATGTTCACCTACAGATTTATTGAAATGACAAATTTAACTTAATTATTTGCATACAAGTGTAAGGATATGTGAAGAAAGGCAGCTAGGTTGCTGTGGCTGGCAATTATAGGAGTTGCAATACTACTAAAGTATAAATTATTCACCCTGTTGTCCCAACCCAATACTGGTGTAAGCTATCCCATCCCTTGATGTCCCTAGACAGCATGCCTGCAGCCCGGAACCAACTTTAACAACTTGCACATTTGTTTAATGATTGCATTAGGGAGAGCAGGGATGGGGATCGTTAAGTGAAGTGTTTCATTTAATGGCCATCCTGCCCAACCTTAATGGACAGACTCCATTATTGTTGTAAATCAAAGACTACCTGTTTTCAGCAAAACTATTCCTAACCTGTACATAAGGCTAACCACAATATTTCTATATATTCCATAACTTCTTCCAGTGAGTGTCCATTTCTGGGATCCATATTTAGCTATAATATATGCAAACATTTCCTGTTTGTGCCTTATGCCTTGTCTCATAGTAGATTTGGAGTTACATTTTCACAAGCTAAACACTATGCCTTGTTCTAAAATTTAAGTTTTGTTGAATTTTTATTGATGATTTTTATTGAAGTTTTTGGCAGGATTTGAGCTCCCTCTACCAGTCCTATAATAATTTACATGGCCAATTGTATGGATGTGGATGTGGAATGTAACGAAAAAATTATATACATTTTGGGATCATGTAATTGTCTTAATATGTGAGTGAAGAATGAATAGACATTTGTAGCAAGTGGTTGTAAGGAACCAATTGGCCCGGGCAGACTAAACAGCACTTGTACAGTACAGATATTGTACAAATGCTACAGCTGAACAGCAGAATCACTCTGTCCTGTTTGTTAATCAAACAAACTATGGTTACAACAATGCACTCCAAAGACATCTGGATAGCATTGGGACGCAGGTAATTCCACTGGGAGATATGTTTAGTTAATAACAGCAAACTATAACAATATTAAACCTAGTGTTTATCTATACTAATTATCCAGTACATAATGAATAATTAAGTATCCAGTTTCCCAGAATGATTTTTATGGTGAGATAATTTCCTGGAAGGGTAAATTAATAACAATTTACAAGCATGCGGAATGAATGTAGGAAAAAAAAGAATACTTAATATTAAATGTATTAGTAATCATGCAATAGACACATGAAAATTGGTAATAGAACTCAAATGTCAAAAGATAAATCAAAATATAAACAATGTATGTGATTGTTATCAAATAAATTTCCAGGAGATTCCTGAATTAGATAAGTGAAATATTAATTGCACCCTAGTAGCTTTCTCCTACACCAGGGTCTCCTACCAACTTTGCCTCTCCTAGGGGCAAGAGAGAAGAAAATGAGAAAAATTGGGCTGGATACCCAAGAATTAATATAATCTCTATATGAATTCCTAAAGAAGACAGTCTGAATTTCCTTTCATCGTAACGGAAGAGATGGGAATACACTTTCATTTTTGCATCATCTCTTCTGGTATGATATAATTTACTAGTTTCTCTTCACCCTCTCATCTAGCATGGTCAGTAGCAGAATAAAACCATATTCTCTTACCGCAATAGACCTCTCGGGAGAAAGGTGGTATGGCATTCCATAGACGTTTCTTATATCTGTGAAATAAAAACAAAATCAGAAACAGATTATTATTTTCTCCATAGAGATGCTTGGTTTTCTGTTCCAAGACCAAAACAATACAAATGCAAACAATGAAGGAGAAAACAATATGAGTGATATAAAATAAAAAATAAAATAAAATAAAATACTGGTTGGTCTAGTAGTTAAGGCACTGGGCTAGAAAACAGGAGATTGTGAATTCAAATCCCACCTTAGCCATGAAAGTCAGCTGGGTGACTTTGGGTCAGTCGCTCTCTCCCAGCCCAACCCAACTCACAGGGTTGTTGTTGTGGGGGAAATAGGAGGAAGGTGTGTTGTATATGTTCACCACCTTGAGTTATTTCAGGGGCGAAATGCTCCCGGTTCGGACCGGTTCAGGAGAGTAGGTAGCGATGGCGGCGGGCAGTTCGGAGAACTGGTAGAAAAAATCCCTGCCCCCGCCCCCCTAAACCCAGCTGAGCCGCGTGATCATCAGAGGCTTTTTTTCTTTTAAATGCCTCTGACGAGCCAACCTTTGATGATCCCAGATGAGTTGCCTGCCAATCAGGCAACTCAGCTTGGATCGTCAGAGCCATTTAAAAGAAAAGAAGTTTTTTTCTTTAAAATGGCTCTGACCATCCAAGCTCTGACGATCCCAGCTGAGTTGCCTGATCAGCAGAGGGTTTTTTAAAAACCCTCTGATGATCAGGCAACTCAGCTGGGATCGTCAGAGCCTTTTGAAAGCATTTTTTTACATGGTTTTACATGTAAAAAATGGTTTTAAAAGTAAAAAAAAAATTGGCCACACCCACCCAGTCACATTACCCCCCCCAAGCCACGCCCACAGAACCAGTAGTAACAAATTTTAGATCTCACCACTGAGTTATTTGTAAAAATTATAAAGGCACAGTATAAATCAGTGGTGAAATCCCAATTTTTTTACTACTGGTTCTGTGGGCGTGGCTTGGTGGGCATGGTGTGGCTTGGTGGGCATGGCAGGGGAAGGATACTGCAAAATCTCTATTCCCACTCCACCTGGGGCCAGCCAAAGGTGGTATTTGCCGGCTCTCCGAACTACTCAAAATTTCCGCTACCAGTTCTCCAAACTGCTCAAAATTTCTGCTCCCGGTTCTCTAGAACCTGTTGGAACCTGCTGGATTTCACCCTTGGTATAAATTAAATTAAATTAAATTAAAGTCATATATCCTTCCATATAATTTTGGAAATCTCTATCCAAAAAGATATTCAACAGGGGCCAACTATTAGCTTTGTTCTTCATTTACCCTGTTTCCCCAAAATAAGGCATCCCCTGATAAAGCCCAATCGAGCTTTTGAGCGCATGGCAATAAGGCCAAGAGCTTATTTCAGGGTTCAAAAAAATACACTGCTCAAAAAAATAAAGGGAACACAAAAATAAGACATCCTAGATCTGAATGAATGAAATATTCTTAGTAAATACTTTGTTCATTACATAGTTGAATGTGCTGACAACAAAATCACACGAAAATTATCATTGGAAATCAAATTTATCAACCCATGGAGGTCTGGATGTGGAGTTACACTCAAAATTAAAGTGGAAAAAAACACTACAGGCTAATCCAACTTTGATGTAATGTCCTTAAAACAAGTCAAAATGAGGCTCAGTAGTGTGTGTGGCCTCCACCTGCCTGTATGACCTCCCTACAACACCTGGGCATGCTCCTGATGAGGTGGCGGATGGTCTCCTGAGGGATCTCCTCCCACACCTGGACTAAAGCATCCCTCAACTCCTGGACAGTCTGTGGTGCAATGTGGCGTTGGTGGATGGAGCGAGACATGATGTCCCAGATGTGCTCAATTGGATTCAGGTCGGGGAAACAGGCGGGCCAGTCCATAGCACCAATGCCTTCGTCTTGCAGGAACTGCTGACACACTCCAGCCACATGAGGTCTAGCATTTGCATGCATTAGGTGGAACCCAGGGCCAACCACACCAGCATATGGTCTCACCAGGGGTCTGAGGATCTCCTCTCAGTACCTAATGGCAGTCAGGCTACCTCTGGAGAGCACATGGAGGGCTGTGCGGCCCCCCAAAGAAATGCCACCCCACACCATTACTGACCCACTGCCAAACCGGTCATGCTGGAGGACGTTGCAGGCAGCAGCATGCTCTCCACGGCATCTCCAGACCCTGTCACGTCTGTCATATGTGCTCAGTGTGAACCTGCTTTCATCTGTGAAGAGCACAGGGCGCCAGTGGCGAAGTTGCCAGTCTTGGTGTTCTCTGGCAAATGCCAAACGTCCTGCATGGTGTTGGGTTGTAAGCACAACCCCCACCTGTGGACGTTGGGCCCTCATACCACCCTCATGGAGTCTGTTCCTGACCGTTTGAGCAGCCACATGCACATTTGTGGCCCGCTGGAGATCATTTTGCAGGGCTCTGGCAGTGGTCCTCCTGTCCCTCCTTGCACAAAGGCGGAGGTAGCGGTCCTGATGCTGGGTTGTTGCCCTCCTACAGCCTCCTCCTACAGTCTCCTGATGTACTGGCCTGTCTCCTGGTAGCGCCTCCATGTTCTGGACACTACGCTGACAGACACAGCAAACCTTCTTGCCACAGCTCGCATTGATGTGCCATCCTGGATGAGCTGCACTACCTGAGCCACTTGTGTGGATTGTAGACTCCATCTCATGCTACCACTAGAGTGACAGCACCGCCGACATTCAAAAGTGACCAAACCATCAGCCAGAAAGCATAGGAACTGAGAAGTGGTCTGTGGTCACCACCTGCAGAACCATTCCTTTATTGGGGATGTCTTGCTAACTGCCTATGCTTTCCACCTGTTGTCTATTCCATTTGCACAACAGCATGTGAAATTGATTGTCAATCAGTGTTGCTACCTAAGTGGACAGTTTGATTTCACAGAAGTGTGATTGACTTGGAGTTACATTGTGTTGTTTAAGTGTTCCCTTTATTTTTTTGAGCAGTGTATAAGACAGGGTCTTATTTTCGGGGAAACATGGTACAAAGTTCTTTTCCAAAATATAATCATATCCCCATGGAAGGAAGCATTTCTTCATAAAAAGTTCAGTCAATCTAAAGAATTCATTACAAGATGTAGTTATTCCTGCTAACATAGAAAGGCATTTCAATAAACTCATGGCACATGCCTTTCAGTTTGCTTGATAATTTTTGGGCTTCCTATGGGCATCTCATTGGCCACTTCTATTAACTTAATATTAAGCTCCACCATAGTTTTCCTTTTGGAGATCACATTATCACAAAAAAAGCAATTATAACCTCTGTTTGAAGTTTAGAGAAAAAGCTAACCCACAATAATTTGTTAAGTAACTATCCTAAAGGTGCTAAAACTCAGTCCCTTCAAGGAGAACAGATTAGGTCACATTCAGAGCTATTTCTGACATAAAATTCTCAGGAAAAGCAAACCTTTGGAAACATTGAGGTGCTCTGTTTTACAAGTTAAGTAAGCAGGAGAGCCACTTCTGTGCCACAAACTCTCTTGGGGTGGACTGCAGCTCTGTTGACAGTGGTAATAGCAATGGCAGCAACAACTTCTTCCCAACTTTTTCTCTTTCCACCTGAAGCAGGAGAAAAGGACTCGCTTGAGCAGCAGAAACCTTCTGCCTCAATTCAACCTCAGGAATCTGACTCAACTAATATATCACATTTAAAACTCAATGTACTGATTAAGAATGTAAGATTAAGTCTTACTCTCACAAACTAAAAACAAACATATTCACTGGTTAAAGACATATGCCACCTGAATGAAGTACTAATGGCTCAATGGGGAGGACAAAATGCAGTGAAGAAATGAAGTAAAAAAGTCTGAGGGCAAAGTTGGTGCTTATGTGGAAATGTCTGTATCTCAGTCTGATGCCCACTAGAACATTCTTTAAGAGCTGAATATATCCACCTATTATTTCCTTTTTGTTATGAGAATTCCTGCTTTTTCATGGTCCTTTTCTTAATTTGTCCTATCCATGTGGCCTTACTTTTTCTTACTTGCCTGATTCCTTAAAAAAATATACACAATTAGCTATCCAAAGTACCTATCCAGCTTCTGAGATTTTGAATTTTGTTTCCTTTTTGGAGGAGAATTTGAACTACGCTTTCGCTTGCATGTTGACTTCACACCATGTTCTTGCATGAGAGAGGTTTTTGGGCTACAGTCTCGTTTCTGAGAAGACTGTTCTTGTCTGTAAGGAGATTTTGATGTATGCTTTTCTCTTTGAGGAGAGTCTTCTTGTTTGTGGGAAGATCCTGAACGATGTCCTTGCCTACAGGATAATTTTGAACTTCTGCCCTGTCTTTCAGTGGACAGGTCTTGCTTGCCAGAAGATCTTGAGTTACACTCTTGCCTGACGTAGGATCTTGGACTTTGGCAACATAAGTCTCTTGAGGTCTGATTTGTACTAGAATGTTTGGAATTGATGCTGTGATAAATATTTGGAGAACTAGACGTGGATTTTACCAAGCTTTCAATATTATGTTTTCCATTAGAAGAAATAGAAGTAGACACCTGAAAAGAGAATGAAACCATACAATAAAGAAAACAATTCTCTCTTTTTCTATTCTGAAATATACTGAGATCATCCTCTCATTTTTTCCAAATAACAGACTCTGCAAACTATAGGAGTTGTATATATATCTAGAGGGGGCCAAGTTGGAGATGCTTTAAAGTGTCAAGGTAGGTCTTTCTTTTTCTTGGAAGCAACTTTTTCCCCTCCTCTCTATAACCCTCATTCGCTCTTCACTCATATCCCACACCCAGTTTCCCCCCTCCCCATACTAACAATTATTTTCATTATGATCAGAATCAACTTACTGAGTCTTTGTAACATTCAGACACTTTAAGATATTGGTCAGCTTGGTTCACATTCCAGGGTGGCTCCTGATAATCTTCAGGTGCCCATGCTCCCTGATTTTCAGCCTGTTGTTGTGGGGAAAATAGGAAGAAGTTGTGTTGGATATGTTCACTACCTTGAGTTATTTGTATTTGACGGGGAATGAATGAATGATTGAACGAATGAATGAATGAAAAGGAACAGCTTCCCAAGTGTATGACTAGAGATAAATGAAATAAAACACATGAATTAGGACAACAAATGGAGGTGGAGGACACACCGAATAATCTTTTATCGCTTTCTGCCTTCCATATATGTTTAAACTTCAACTAATTCCCGGGGAATTAGCTTTCTTGGAGACTTTCTGACATAAAAGTAACTGAACAGCCAACATTCCTATAGTCAAACATAAATTCAAAATTCAAAATTGAACCTACCTATATTTTCAAGGAAAATGTATGCAAATATTCCCATTCTTACCAATCCAGTAACATTTCTTCTCACTAGCACAGGTACACAGTGAATATCATTCAGGGTACTTGGAAGGCTGGAAGAATCGAGAGCTGGAACAACATCAGCTTGAGAATCATCTGTATCATTCTGCTTAGATGAAGTTTCAGTCTACATCAATTTAAAATAAAATGGAGATTAGAACATTTTGGGAAGCAGATTTTCAGACATAAGAGGAACTGAACAACCAAAATTCCTGTACTCAAAAATAAATTCCAGATTCCAAATTGAACGTACTTAATTTCCATGGAAAATATATACAAAGAGCTTTCCCTTTCTTACCAATCCAATAACGTTTCTTCTCACTAGCACAGGTACACAGTGAATATCATTGAGGGTACTTGGAAGGCTGGAAGAATCAAGAGCTGGGGCAATATCAGCTTGAGAATCATCTGTATCATTCTGCTTAGTTGAAGTTTCAGTCTACATCAATTTAAAACAAAATGGAGATTAGAACATTTTGGGAAACAGATTTTCAGACATAAGAGGAACTGAACAACCAAAATTCCTGTAATCACAAATAAATTCCAGATTCCAAATTGAATGTACTTATATTTCCAAGGAAAATATATACAAACAGCTTTCCCATTCTTACCAGTCCAGTATCTTTTCCTCTCACTGGGACAGGCTCACAGTGAACATCATTAAAGGTACTTGGAAGGCTGGAAGAATCGAGATCTGGAGCAACATAAGCTTGAGAATCATCTGCATAATTCTGCTTGGCTGAAGTTTCAGTCTACCATCAATTTAAAACAAAATAGAGATTAGAAAATTTTCGAAAGCAGATTTTCAGATATAAGAGGAATTGAACAACCAAAATTCCTGTACTCAAAAATAAATTCCAGATTCCAAATTGAACGTACTTAATTTCCATGGAAAATATATACAAAGAGCTTTCCCTTTCTTACCAATCCAATAACGTTTCTTCTCACTAGCACAGGTACACAGTGAATATCATTGAGGGTACTTGGAAGGCTGGAAGAATCGAGAGCTGGAGCAACATCAGCTTGAGAATCATCTGTATCATTCTGCTTAGTTGAAGTTTCAGTCTACATCAATTTAAAACAAAATGGAGATTAGAAGATTTCGGGAAACAGATTTTCAGACATAAGAGGAACTGAACAACCAAAATTCCTGTAATCACAAATAAATTCCAGATTCCAAATTGAATGTACTTATATTTCCAAGGAAAATATATACAAACAGCTTTCCCATTCTTACCAGTCCAGTATCTTTTCCTCTCACTGGGACAGGCTCACAGTGAACATCATTAAAGGTACTTGGAAGGCTGGAAGAATTGAGATCTGGAGCAACAACATAAACTTGAGAATCATCTGCATAATTCTGCTTGGCTGAAGTTTCAGTCTACATCAATTTAAAACAAAATAGAGATTAGAAAATTTTCGAAAGCAGATTTTCAGATATAAGAGGAATTGAACAACCAAAATTCCTGTACTCAAAATAAATTCCAGATTCCAAATTGAACGTACTTAATTTCCATGGAAAATATATACAAAGAGTTTTCCCTTTCTTACCAATCCAATAACGTTTCTTCTCACTAGCACAGGTACACAGTGAATATCATTGAGGGTACTTGGAAGGCTGGAAGAATCGAGAGCTGGAGCAACATCAGCTTGAGAATCATCTGTATCATTCTGCTTAGTTGAAGTTTCAGTCTACATCAATTAAAACAAAATGGAGATTAGAACATTTTGGGAAACAGATTTTCAGATATTAGTTGAATTGAACAACCAAAATTCCTGTAGTTACAACTAACTGCCAGATTCCAAATTGAACGTACTTATATTTCCAAGAAAAATATAAACAAAGGTTTTTCCCATTCTTACCAATTCGTTATCTTTCTCTCTCACTAGCACAGGCTCACAGTGAACATCATTGAGGGTATTTAGAAGGTTGGAAGAATCAAGAGCTGGAGCAACAACATAAACTTGAGAATCATCTGCATCATTCTGCTTGGCTGAAGTTTCAGACTACAATTTAAAATAAAATGGAGATTAGAACATTCTGGGAAGCAGATTTTCAGACATAAGAGGAATTGAACAACCAAAATTCCTGTAGTCACAAATAAATTCCAGATTCCAAATTGAATGTACTTATATTTCCAAGGAAAATATAAACAAAAGTTTTTCCCATTCTTACCAATTCATTATCTTTTCCTCTCACTAGGATAGGGTCACAGTGAACATCATTGAAGGTATTTAGAAGGTTGGAAGAATCAAGAGCTGGAGCAACAACGTAAGTTTGAGAATCATCTGTATCATTTTGCTTGGCTGAAGTTTCAGACTACAATTTAAAACAAAATGGAGATTAGAACATTCTGGGAAGCAGATTTTCAGACATAAGAGGAATTGAACAACCAAAATTCCTGTAGTCATAACTAACTTTCAGATTTTAAATTGAGCGTACTTATATTTCCTAGGAAAATATGTACAAAGATTTTTCCCATTCTTACCAATTCATTATCTTTTTCTCTCACTAGGACAGGCTCATAGTGAACATCAGTGAGGGTACTTGGAAGGCTGGAAGAATCAAGAATTGGAGCAACACAAGTTTGATAGTGATCTGTATCATTCTGCTTGGCTGAAGTTTCAGTCTACGTCAATTTAAAACAAAAGCGGAATTAGAATATTTTGGGAAGCAAAATGAATGGATCTGTTACTACACAGACCTGGATCATCGATTTGCTCAGTTTGAGGATCATTGTTCATCCCCTTTAAGAATTTACTTCTTTGTATGTCCTTTCAATTCCTGCATGTTTTCAATCTCAATGACATACATTTCTTCTCTAGAGTGAAACATTTGGTTCAGGTGTATTCTGCAGAGGCCAACTGAAATGCAAAGCTGTGTTACAGGTATGACTTTCATAATAAAATAATCAGCTGGTCTACAAACTAATTGTTTGAGTCTTCTCTGATCAAGTAACTTCTGCAAAAGCCTTATAATGTTTGTAAAAACAGTACACTGCTTTCATGATGAAAAATATGGATCAGGAGGGAATGGGCAACAGGCTTAAATAGTAGAAATACCACTTAATTTATCCAGGTATATTAATAAATCAGTTACATACAGCATCTAATTAATCATTTTTCTATATTAGTTTTACAAGATAAATCATAAGCCTTTTGTCTAAGGAAGACATGGATGATTTATTCTAACCAGGGACATACTTTTCAATAAAATCAGATTCCAGGATGCAATTTCCGTCAATCTTTTTCTTTTTAATAAAGTTTTTTATTATAAATTAGAAACAAAAAACAGAAAGAAGACTATAACGAAACACAATCACATACGTACGACTGAGGTTGATTCAACCCCCATATATATACAGTTTCTAAATAACTTCACATATCATCATACTACATATTCAATTTGGTTTTTCATACTGCATCTTGCATTTGTTAATCTTCTTATATCTAATATAACCTTATTTATATTTAACTTGCTATTTACATATCTATGCTACATGCTTCCCTAACATCTGCCTCATGACATTTTTACTTCTATCCATTGGTACCATTTATCGCAGCTTTGATTGAAAGTTGATTCTTGTCCATCTTAAAGAATATACGTTAGTCTATCACATTCTGCACACCACAAAATTTTGTTGATAATCATCTGATCCGATGGTACTTCTTTCCCTTTCCAAAGTTGCGCATATGCAATTCTAGCCGCAGTGCAATTTCCGTCAATCTTTTGAGAAGTAGTGAGGAAATATTTTAAAACAGTCTTTCTCAACCTTTGCAAGTTGAAGATGGGTGGACTTCAACTCCTAGAATTCCCCTGCAGCAAAGCAAGGGAACTAAAGTCCACCCATCTTCAACTGGCCAAAGTTGAGAAACTCTGTTTTAAAATACAAAATATTTTACTGGTATTTAACTGGTATATTTCACAAATTAAAATATATTTTATAACTGGTAAGATAATAACTTAATAATAAGCCAAATATGATCTTCTTGATGTTGTCTAACCCACATAAATCCTATTCAATGTGACCAAAGACAAGGAAATATCTGCATTAAAGATTGTGAGTTAAGAGTGGTAGCAAGAGCTTTAATATTTTAAGTGAATCTTAATTTTCTGTCTTCAAGTTGGAAGGCATGAAGATAAAATTTCAACAACTTGAGTGCAGAATGAATGCTGTTCTTGCTGGGTTGTCTTCATCATTCTGAAGGCTTCTATTTATGTTGCATTTTACCTGCCATAATTCACAGCCATTGATCCTAAACTCTTTAATCAAACACATCTGGAGAGCATAGGCTTGTGGAAGAGGTACAGGTAGTCCTCAACCTACAACCATTTGTTTAGTGACCATTTGTTTACAGCAGCACTGAAAAAAGCAGACTTAGAACTGCTTTTCACACTTATGACCGTTGCAGCATCCCTATGGTCATGTGGTCAAAATTCAAACACTTTGCAACTGCCATATATTTATGACAGTTGCACTGTCCTATGTCAGGTGATCACAGTTTGTAACCTTCCCAACTTTGCTTAAAGAAGCAAATTTAATGGAGTAAGCCAGACCTGCTTAACAACTGGAGTGATTCATTTAATAACTGTGGCAAAAATATCGTGAAATGGGGCGCAACTCACTTAACAACATCTTGCTTAGCAATGAAAATTTTGGACACAATTGTAGTTTTAAATCAACACCTACCTGTAGTCTCAAAACAAAGATATTTGACATGTTTAATTTGCCAATTACAGAGATATTGAAAGATGAATGAGAAGTCAAGCATATTTTATATCAATTCTTGTCCAAATCTGTGCAAAAGATTTTTCTCTGAGTTTGAGAACATAAACTGGCTCCAAAACAGTAACTGTGAGAGGGACCTTGGAGTTTTTAGGGGACGATCACTTAAACATGAGTCAGCAGTTTATAAAGCCTTGGTAAGACCACATCTGGAATACTGCATCCAGTTTTGGTCACCATATTACAAAAAAGATGTTGAGAACTTTGGAAACAGTGCAAAGAAGAGCAACAAAGATGATTAAAGGCCCGAAGGCTAAAACATATGAAGAACAGTTGAAGGATTTGGCTTCGGCTAGTCTAGAAAAAAGAAGAACTAGGGGAGATATGATAGCAGTATTCCAGTATTTGAGAGGCTGCCACAAAGAAAAGGGGGTCAATTTATTTTCCAGAGGGCAGGACAAGAAACAATAGATGGAAACTAATCAAGGAGAGAAGCAACCTGGAATTGAGGAGAAACTTCCTAACAGTGAGGACAATTAGCCAATGGAACAGCTTGCCTTCAGACCTTGTGGGTGCTTCATCACTGGAAGTTTTTAAGAAGAGACTGGACACCCACTTGTCTGAAATGGTATAGGCGGAGGGTTGAACTAGAAACCTCCAAGGTCCCTTCCAGCTCTATTCTGATTCAACAAATACAGTATTCATTGGTATAGTTCAAGGGAGATCTCTCACTTAGAAATCTAGGTACAAGTGATGCAGAAACACAGCAGCAGAATGTAATTTAAAATGCTTTAAAATGGACCCTGCAATGTGTTCTTCAATATGATTAGAGCAACTTGTTGTTTAAACTTGTCCAGTAAAGTTAGCTCTTCATTAAAAATCTGTATTAAGACTGCCCACCCAGGGATTACTTCAAGTCATGGCAACCTGTACTCATAGAAGGGAACAAACAAAATAACCAGCCTCACAAACATAGACCAGTGAAAAACAAAAAGTGCAAACTTATGAAAGTACTCCCTGATTCTTTAGCAAATAAGTAACTGAATGTAAACATCTCTGACAACAAAGAAAAGTTATGTTACTTATTTAGACTAACATGTCATGAAAAAACAATTCCTTAACAAAATAAAGGAAGCATTCATACCAATACAGAATCTTTCTCCTCAATGTCTTGAAGGACTTCTGTGCTACAAGATGATGTTTTATCTTCTGTGGATACTCCAGGAGACAAAATAGAGACAGTCTGACTGAGAAGATCTTCAGTGGCCTCACAATCTTCCAGTTTATCCTGAAGTTGGTTTTTTTTTTTAAGGAAAAAAAATAAGAACCAGTTTAATGCTAACCAAGCTTAACAAAGAAGACTTGAAGAAAAACTATTTCTATATCACAAGATACGGTACATTACTATTTGGAAATACTTTTTTTTCCTTTTTACCCTTTAATACAGACTTGGAGGCCCTCCTGGATGTGGAACTCTTGCTTGAACAGTAGCTAGAAGTTGTGGTTAAGGGAAACTTTTGCTCAGCTTTAAGTGATATTTTAATTATGACCCCACTTGGATCAGAATGCTTTACTCCAGTGATGGCTAACCTTTTTGCCATCGCGTACCAGGAGGGGGGGCGAGGGAGGGTCACGCGTGCACGTGCCCATGTACGCAACAACCCCCCCCCGCTCCTGGCACATGATGGCCTGGTAGGCCCGTTTTTCTTTCTTACCTGGTTCCAGATCCTCTCTATTTATCTGGGAAGGGCGAAAACAGCCTTTTTCACTCTCTTGGAGGCCGTCCAAAGGCCTGAAACGGCCCATTTCCCAACTCCCGGTGGGACAGGAAGTGACATTTTTTGCTGACCTCAGCCTCCAGAGCCTCTCTAGGAGTCTCTAGGAGCCTCTCTAGGAGTCTCTGGAGGCTGGGGACAGCAAAAAACATCACTTCCTGCCCCACCGGGAGTCAGGAAATGGGCCCTTTCAGCCTCTGTAGGGCCTCCAAAGGAGTGGGAAAGGCTGTTTTCGCCCTTCTCAGATGCATAGAGAGGATCTGGAGCCAGGTAGGAAAGAAAAATGGGACTCCCCCCCACACCGGCCCTCCAGAGGCAGGAAACAGCCTGTTTCTCTACTTCTGGTGGGCCCAGAAGGCCCGAAAATCAGCTGGCCGGTACGCGCATGCACCCCAGAGCTGAGCTGGCGTGCCCACTAATATGGCTCCATGCGCCACCTGTGGCACGTGTGCCATAGGTTCGCCATCATGGTTCTACTCTATATGGAGCTAAAGTGTTGGTTGTTTCTTTAAAGCCCTAAATGTCACAGCACCAGTCCATGATATAATGCTTTGTCAGAATACAAGCAGCCTGTTTAAGATCCATGATCAGAAGCAAGTATGCTGAAAGATGTCTCCTTTAATGAGATTCATAGGGTTTAGGTGAGTCAGCAGGTCTTCCTTTGTGGCAACCCACACCTTGCAGAATACAAGGACTCACTGATTTATGACCAGTTTTTTTAGTGACCATTCAAAGTTATGACATGACCACCATCCCAGAAGGGACTTACGTAACCCAGTAACAAAGTTCTGGTTCTGGTGTCAACTCCTCCTGTGGTCCCATGACCGCATTTTGGCACTTGGCAACTGGCTCACATTTATGCAGCGACCCATAGTCATGTAACCACAATTTACAACAGTTTTGCTGAAAACTGGTATTTACTTCTGGTTTCTGGCAAAAATCAGGCCATAGTAATGTGAATAAAATAGGAATCATACAGAGTCAGCTACATGAACTCTAAAGGACCCTCTCTATTCACATTATTATAAGGGAAAAACGTGCTTAGCTACATGAACTCTAAGAGACCCTCTCTATTCACATTATTATAAGGGAGAAACGTGCTTGATGGAGATTACATTAAAAACAGCTAAACCCCATTAGTGGTAATAAATCTTCTGATGAGGCCTAGCTGTCACAGAAGGACAGCCATATGGAAAACATCTGAGGGGGGCCTTTCTGTCAAATACACAAAGACAGACACAGGAAACAAAGAGTCACTTATTACTTCTTATTACCCAAGGACAACAGTAAATCTCCCATTAGCAACCACAGCACTTAAGGAAAAGTTGTGTAGCTAAGATAACCTTATAAACTAGCAAGTTATGGTTTAGTAATTAGGAAGTGTGTCAATTATCATATAACAAGTGTATGTTAACCATATATGGAAAACTGCATGAGCTCACCGAATCCTTTGTCTTAGAAACATATATAAACTGTCTATCAGAGCTCTTTCATTGTTCAAAGTTTCAGGTACAAATCTGGCTCTGAACCTTGCGCAATAAACTGACTCTGGCTGACCCAGGAATGTTGTTCAGTCTCAATTTTTCCACAACAATAGTGAACAATGGGTTCACTAAATGACTGCCACAAAAAAGGTTGTAAAATTGAGTTCGGTTAGACAGTGGCCTGCTTTACGACCATCACGATTTACAATCATAATTGCCAAGCTCAATTACATTTGTAACTTGAGGACAACCTGTACTCTCCTCTCCAGAAATGTGTGCCGCTCCCACCTTGCTGCAATTCTGTAAGCAAGTGGGCGAGTGTTTTGGATTGTATATTGGCATTTCTTTTGTGTTTAGTTTTTGTTTTTAATATTGACTTGTACTACTTATTACTCAGAATTATATATACATTTATATTTAGTTATCAGGATTGTAGGTATGTATTTTACCTTTAAGAGTTTCCTCAGAAATGTTACTTTTCTAGGTTATTTCTAGGATAAGAGTGGGGGAGGGAAAGGGGAGAAGAGACAATTTGTGAGATAGAGGTTGGCATGCATGAACAATTAGCCTCCTCCCTCCTTCCTAGTGTGGGGTACAATATAAGAAGTTGTAATTTTCCATAATATAGACTAGCATATAGCTTATGAAAGACATATACACTTTATATAAGGTTTATTCTTTGTTCCAATTACCTAGAGTTAGTATCTTAACATATAGCCAGACTCCAGCCATGTTTACAATTTTCTTACTGATAATTTCCTATAAGCCTTAAAAGGCCTCTCTCTCTCTCTCTCCCCTTGAGACCATGACTGACAGGAGAGTGTTTAATATATTGTAGCGTTTTTAGCTGTTCTCGAGTCTCCATAAACAAAGAGAATAGTCAAGTCTGACCTTGGGAAGGCTAAGAATGCATTTAATCCAAACTTGCTTTGACAGCTTTCTCTCTCAAATGTTTATTTTACTTGAGTGATGTTCTTTTTTTATGGCTATGTTATAATTCTTGTGAAACAAGGTAACTGATAAGGGAATATCAAAGAAGTAAGAGATGAGGGTGTGTGTGAATGTTTAGCAAGCTTGGGTGACAATAAGGGCTTAACTAACTTTAAACATTTAGGGGTGATAATAGATTCTAGGGCAGCTGTCGGAAAGCATGTGACCAGACTAGGGCTATCAACTTGGCCTGGAAAGGAATGATGTGGCATAAGCTGATGGGGGTAGGATGATTATAAAAGTGCTTTTTCATTACTTGGGTATGGTCTCTTGCCTATGTGTATTGAGGACCACTAGCTTTTGCAAAAGCTTCAATTAAACTGTTTTGTATTCCAACAACTTTGAGTGAGTTTTACTCCTCACACTAGTGTTGCCATTAGCATTAGAGAAAACATAAATTAGAGGAGCCTGTGGAATTCCCATTTGCCAGCAGTCGCTTATCTCATGATCACTATGTTAGCTTTCCCCGCCCCACAAAAGGATTAATGAGATAGAAGTAAGAAAGAAGATAGGCTCATTATATATCCTCATTAGTTAAAAATCATAACTTAATAAGGAATATTTTTCCTGAATGAGATGCTCATAATCTAAAGAACAGTATAATAGCATCTCCCTAATAAAAGAAATATACAACTCAGTTTGGTATATTATTGTAAGAAAAGATAAAAACGTACTCTTTTATAGAATGTATTAATTGCATAAAAGAAATTATAAAGGCTCTATTGCAAAGCTTCAGTAACAAGGCAAAGGAAAAGCCACAAATGGAAAAAGATTAATTATTGTGTCAGCTTGACCAAAATGTTCAAGAAAGCTCACCCACAAAGGGTGAGAGAGATAAGATGCATCCTCTTGTAAATCAGCAAAATCAATCACTGCAAAGCACAGGAAATTGGAAATCAGTAAATAAAAGAAGCCATAACCAAAAGGAATCATGTTGGACACGTACGCAGGATGTAAACAGGCAGGAACTGGGGGGCGGGGGGAAGGAGGTGTGATGTATACTGGGGAAAAGGTATAAAAGTATTGTTTGAAATTTTGAAAAGCACACTTCACAATTTCAATCCAATTTGGAAGTGACATGTATATGCTTAATACAAATTAAACAATGACTAATCCAATATTAATGAATATTGTTGTTTAAATTCTACACACAGTTTATGCTTAACTAAACTACACCTGCAGATCAGAAATCTTCTTCTAAAGAAAATGAAGATGTATACCACAGTAGCAGCTGCTAAAAATCAAATAGGTTTTTGGGAATCAGAAAGTTCTAGAGTTTATTCTGCTCCATATCTGCAAGAAGTTAAATAACTTTGTCAGAAAAACTGAGCAAATAAAGCAAAATACAAATACTCATAGCACAAAATCAAAGAAACATGCAACCAGAGTTAATGAGACGTAATGACAGTATTATCACAGGGAATCACATTAAAAGAACATATAAAAGGAAGAAATATTCATACCACTACAATATCTTCATTCTGGGTGTGAGGAGGGATTTTTGTAATTCCAGATGGTGTTTCTTCTTCTGCAACAACTTCAGGAGATGTAACAGAGTCAGTCTGGCTAGGAGACTCTTCATCAGGCTGACTATCTTTTGGTTTGACCTGCAGCATTTATATAGATTAGAACTTGGAAAAGATTTTAAAAGCAAATCTTTTTTCCCTAAATAACAAAATATTGTCTTTTTACTAGGAAAAGAGAGTCCCTCTAAATTAAAACTTCAAGATGTATGATCAATTTTTGAGAAATTTTCTATGGAAATTACATTATCGACCAGTCACTAATATGTTAAAAGTGTTCAAAAATTGAAACTGATCAACTTTACATATCTTTGAATATGAATTATGGTTTGAACTGAATCCCCTTCCCCCTCCCCTCTCCCTCCCCCTCCTTCATCGTGTTATTCCTATGCTATGACTATTCCTGAAAATCCCAGAAGCTTATAATATGCACAGAAGTGTATGCAGTAACTAAACCTCTAGTCACACAGACAAGAAGAATCAGGGTGGACCAGTTTTAAAAGACAGCACTGATTAGCTACTTGCTTTCAAGCCCAGTTCAAGATACAAGAACTTACTTTTAAAGAATTGAAGAATTTTAAAACTAAATGCCTTAAGGAATATCTCTCCCTATATTTTTATGCATCCAATTAAAATCTACTTTACCCAGGCATTTAAAATGTGAAGTCCACACATCTTAAATTGCTAAGGTTGAGAAACACTGTTTTAGGACAAAGTATAGAAGTTAGCATTGCCAACATCCTTTTTATGGTTTGGAAGCTCATCATCTTATTATACAAATATTCTAAATCTTTTCCTATTATTACCTTGGATGGGACATCTTTTTTCACTGATGCTGCAGTATTTCCCTTGTCCTGTTCGAATTTCTTAGAATCTTCTGGCTGTTTTTTCACTTTCTCAAACTTTTTCTTTGGCTGCAACAGAGGAGTCTCACATGATGGACATTTATTATATATAGACATTCTGCTTTTATTGTTCTGGCACCTAATGACCAGACAGGTTATTTAAGATTCAAGACAATAAACATAGTCGTAGAATAAAGTGCTCGCCTAAATCTTCTCCCTTTTAAGTGTAAATTTTATATTTTTAATGTATTTTAAAATATGGGTATCTTAAATTATGGGTATTAATTCAGCCAAATTTATTTAATTCATTTTATTCGATTTTAAATTTTGTATATCTATGTGTTTTATTTCATGGCTGTGCACCGCCCTGAGTCCTTCGGGAGTAGGGCGGTATAGAAATTCAATAAAATAAAATAAATAAATAAATAAAATTAAAGAGAATGTACCCATATGTTCTTTCTGTTAACAGGAATTGTGAAAGGGATCTCTTCGCATACCAGCTGGAACACTGCACCTTCCCAGGTAGTTCTACAATGGTGTTCCCATCCCATCCTACCTTGTCTTGGCTTACATATATTTTTGTAAGTGAGGGAGATTAATCTGATTTAGCATCTGGAAATGCCTGCCAAGGATATTCCATGTTTTTTCTTGGCATCTATCAACTCATCCTTCCTTTTGGAGTCATACATTTGTTCATAATAATAAGGACAAGATAAACAACTTAAGCGAGCTGCACTGGCTCCCGGTGGTCTTCTGGGTGCACTTCAAGGTTTTAGTTATCACCTTTAGAGCGCTCCATGGCTTAGGACCTGGTTACGGGACTGCCTGCTACCACCAATAGCCTCCCACCGGCCAGTACGCTCCCATACAGAGGTGCTCTTCCGGGTGCCGTCGGCCAAATAATGTCGACTGGCAGCCCCTAGAGGGAGAGCCTTCTCTGTGGGGGCAGCTACGATCTGGAACAAGCTCCCCCCGGAGATACGGAGGATCCCGGATCTGCGCACCTTCCGTCGCATGCTTAAGACTTTCTTATTTCATCAAGGTGGCCTGGCCTAAATCTTTTTCCCTTTTAAATGTAAATTTTAATTTGTTTTTAAATTATTGGGTATTTTAAATTTGTCTCAGCCAAATTATTTAATTTGTTTTTATTCTATTTTAAATTTTTGTATTTATGTGTTTTATTCTGTGGCTGTTCACCGCCCTGAGTCCTTCGGGAGTAGGGCAGTATATAAATCCAATAAAATAAATAAATAAATAAATAAATAAGTCTAGGACATAAAATGTGTGTCAACTCTGCAGCTGGCCTGATTACGGCAACTGTGTGTATGTATCAAGGTCAGTATAAGATAAGGCTGGTAGTAGGGGTAGGCAAAGGAAATACAGCGTGCAAAGGCAAACAATAATGGGTGATTTAGAGGAAAAGAATTATTCCTGTAAAGAATATAGCCTGAGTGACTCCATATTTATCCTTTATATAACCTGAGTTAATCCTCTCTGACATTAAGCTGAGTAAAATATGGGAAATGTTTATGACATCTGTTTTGAGGAAATAAATGTTCTGGTACATTCTAAGTTGGGTCAAGCTGAACCAAACTCCACTGAAAAGGAAGAAGAGACTAATTATCCAATTAATAAGAACAATAACAAACAATTAAGAATACATGTTTAGAGGGTATTTTTGGAGGCGAACTCCAGGGTGGAACATGTGAGAAAGCCAAAATGAAAAACAATGACAGATGGGGGCGTTTTAATTGTTTTGCTGATTGCCTGAAAATGTATTTAACCATGTATTTGGAGTGGTAAAACGTTCTCTCTCTTTCATGGGAGAACCCTTTTGCAAAAGTTTATGGGATACATATATCCTTACAATAAATCTGCTTTTTACTTGTTCATGGCCTCTGTTTCACTTTTTATGAGGTTTGCTGTTTTTTTTAAATCTCACAGTGATATAGGATAATACAGAGTTTATATAAGGTATCAGAGAAAAAGTAGTTCACACCACTATGTGCCTCCACACCATTACTTTCTTGTAAACACTACAACTATATAGGTAGTCTTTGACTTATGACCACAATTGGGACTAGAATTTCCATTACTAAACCAGGGTAAGTGAAGCTCACCTGATTTTATAATCTTTTTTTGCCATGGTTGTTAAATGAATCCCATTGAGTCTGCTTGTTGGAAGCCAGCTGGGAAGGTCACAAATGGCAACCACATGACCCATTAAGGATACAACTGTCATAAATCTTTGCCAGTTGCCAAGTGCTCAAATTTTGATCACTTGTCTATAGGGATGTTGCAATGTCGTAAGTACAAGGACTGATCATAGGTCGCTTTTTTTTCAATATCATTATAACTTGCAACAGTCATTAAATGAATGGCTGTATGTCTTATGACCACAACTGAGCCCAAAATTTCCATTGTTAAGACAGTTGTTAAAAGAATTTTGTCCCATTTTACCACCTTTCTTGCTACGGTTGTTAAGTGAATCACTGCAGTTGTTAAGTTAGTAACATGATTGTTAAATGAATCTGGCTTCCCCATTGACTTTTGACTTTGCTTGTCAGAAGGTTGCAAAAGGTGATCACACAACCCTGAGACACCGCAAACATCATACATACATGCTAGTTGCCAAGTGTCTGAATTCTGATCATGTGACCACAGGGCTACTGCAACAATTGTAAGAGTGAGAATCAGGTGAGAAAAGGAAGTAAGCAAAAGACTGATCTAAGTCACCTTTTTCAGTGCCATTGTAACTTTGAACGGTCACTAAGTGAATGGTTGTAAGTCAAGGACTACCTGTAGTCTATTTTGCTTAGGCCTTTATGTCTAGCTTCATTAAGGGAAATAGTTATTTGGCTTTGCTTGTAATTTCCAAACATTAAGATACATAATTATTTGGAGCACAGAAACAGAGAAGTAGTTAAGAAAGCAATAGTAACTGCTCTAAACAATTATTTAATGGTCACAAGCTGCCACTGTATGTATCTTTAAGCTGCATTTGTCTTCATTTGTATCTTTTTGAGTATTCCCCACTGAGATACCAGCATTATATTTTCCTTCATGTAAGAGCAAAAGATTGCATGTGTTTTCCAATTGGCATACGATGTCCACAACAAACTGCACTATATCAAAATGAGGTGCAAATACTGCAATTATATAATTGCATAATGAGACTTGAGACATATACTTAAATCATGTCAAAAGTGTGGTATTATCATGCATATCTCAGTATTTCCTCCCCTTACCTTCCCAGATATCCACGAACATACACATGAGAAATTGTCTGAATATATTTGGTGCAAAAATATACACTGTTCCTGAAGAATTATTATTTATTTCTTACCGCCACATTGCTTAAAGGAGAACTTGACTGGTTTTGAAAATTACCTCTTCCTGCAGAAAGAGAAACAGTTAAATGAAATTAAGAAGTTTCCAATGAATTCCATGAGGTAAGAGACAAACATTTGGAAAAGCTTTGTTTCACAGTATTATTCTTTTCAGAGTACCTGAAAGAATATTGGGGTCTCAGTCATGCACACGTATATTGTTGTGCTGAAAGTTAAATATAATAGAGGAGAGAAACCATCCAAAGAGTTAAAAGAAACAGATTTAAATTCTGCTGTTTGTTTTGGCTACTATACTGGAACCAGGAAAAGGAAGGTTCCTCCCTTAAAACGTAAATGCTGCTTTCCTGAACAGGAGATTGCTGACATTTTTTTAAAAATTGAATCCTAGATTGAGAAATCATGGAAATAATAGTAATAATGGACAGTCCATTAGAGCACGTGCTGTAACACCTATCAGTTTTAAGGCAATATCTGCTACATATTTGGTAAATATATTTCTATAAAGATCAATTTATGTTTTCATTTATCCTCTTTGGCAATGACTACAGATTCTTCTCTATTTCCATTACATTCTTATCCATGGTTAAATGAGTCATGGTTGACTCAGTTAATAGAGACAGAGAGAGAGACAGAGACGTAGATAGATAGATAGATAGATAGATAGATAGATAGATAGATAGATAGATAGATAGAATACACACACACACACATACACTAATATTTTGTTACATGATTACACTTATTTAGAAGCTACTTTTCTTCTGTACTATTTGGAGGCTTCCTCCTCTTTCATTCTCTTTTGCTTGGAGTACATAAGGTAAAGGTAAAGGTTCCCCTCGCACATATATGCTAGTCGTTCCCAACTCTAGGGAGCAGTGCTCATCTCCGTTTCAAAGCCGAAAAGCCAGCGCTGTCCGAAGATGTCTCCATGGTCATGTGGCTGGCATGACGAAACGCCAAAGGCGCATGGAACGCTGTTACCTTCCCACCAAAGGTGGTCCCTATTTTTCTACTTGCATTTTTACATGCTTTCGAACTGCTAGGTTGGCAGAAGCTGGGACAAGTAACGGGAGCTCACCCCATCATGCGGCACTAGGGATTCGAACCGATGAACTGCCGACCTTTCGATCAACAAGCTCGGTGTCTTAGCCACTGAGCCACCGTATCCCTTTGGAGTACATACCAGTATTTTAACTCTCACAAACCTCTTGAGAAGGTCTTTTTAGATCTTGTATTAAAACGATCTCGGTAAGGACGCCTATGGTAGGAACCTCGGGTGTAATCATCAAAACCGATGTTGTAGGGCCTGCAGAAGTACAAACAAACATAGGCTTCATTCTACAGTACTTGCCTTCATTTCTGTTGAAAATACAGGTAGTCCTTGACTTATAACCAGTCACTTAGCAACCGTTTGAAATTATGACAGCTCTGCCAAGAGCGACTTATAAACCAGTTTCAAAGTTATGACCACTGAAGTTCTTCTGCAGTTGTTCACTCGTATGACTGACCTCAGGGATACTGCATCTATCTCGGCCACCCATCCCACCAGATTCCTTGGTCTGTTGCCTTCAAAGCACCCAAGGGAGACCAAATTTGGGCAGCAGATGCTTCCAGCACACAAAGGGCAGTTGTAGCTCACAGGCCTCGGCGTACCTCCCATCCAGTCACCCAAGGGCCTCCCTCTGTCCCTCAGGTTCCCACAGGCTTCAGGCTGCTCCCAACCTGGGCACTCAGCCTCCAAGGGACCCTAAAGCCAGGCAGCAGACTCTACTGAAACACACAGGGCAGTTGCAGCTCATAAACTTCAGTCTACTTTCCATCCATCCAGCCAAATACTTGCAGGACTCGGTCTGCTGCTCAGCTAGCTCCATGGACCAGCAGCAACTTATCTTTCTGTTTTTTACAGAGGTGCCCAGCTGATGTGATGCAAAGCTCAGCTTTATCACAGATGCTGCCTGCCTCATGGTAACTCTGTGCTATTCTGCAAGGAGGTACTTTGGTTGTAAGCCTCTAGACTAGAGGACTCCTTTTTTAGGGAGTCCTCTAGTCCTCCAGGGAGTCTCCTGTTTGTGGAGTTTGTGAAGCCTCTGAACTACAGGATCTTCTTTGTGTAGATGACTTTGTTCACAGTTCCTCTCATATTAATTATTAAAAATCTTTACAATTTCTCTTTTACCATTTTCATAATTTGTTCCCAAACTTTTACTGCTATTCCCAATTTTGTATGCTATTAAGTAAAAACCAGAAGTTGTTCAAAAAATTTTTCTAAACGTCTTTTTCTGGGAGACTCACTAAATGATGCCTTTCAACTTCACACATAAAGGTATTTATACCAGATTGATGGTATTCTCTCTATATTGTAGAGATTATGTTTCTTGAACTATGATACCATGTTGCTTAGTTTCTGTCTGGGTGTTTGAGCAAAGTGGTATATGCAGTACAATGCAGTGAGCCATGTGCAGATCTGTACATTGGGAAAATGAAACAACCACTTCATAATGCATGGCACAACATAGGAGACCAAACACATCAGGACTAGGTTCAGCTGTCCAACTGCATTTAAAAGACACAGGCCACTCTTTTGAAGACAACAAGGTCCATATTTTGGACAGAGAGGATCACTGGTTTGAAAGAGGGGTTAAAGGGCCATCTATGTCAAAATTGAGCAGCCCTCTCTCAACAGAGGAGGAGGAATAGGACATCATGTATCTCCAATCTACAACACAGTCCTTTTAACAGTTCCAACAAGGCTCCACACCCATTTGCATCACTCGGGTGACCCTGATGACACAGATAAACCTCCAGATGACCTTAATGACCTGCTAAAAGAATGCAAATAACCAGCTGTCTGCAAGGAGTATAAATCCTTCCATTCCCCACCATCCAGTCAGAGTTTAAGAAACCTCTTGGATGAGAAGCAAAATGTCTTCAAAGAAAAACCAGAAAGTCCAATTGCCTCTTGAAAAAACACCTTTGGGACAACCATGACTGAGAATCTTCATAGACACTCTCTGGTGAAAAATTATTTGCCCATGCTTGTTAAATAAATAGCATTATGTGGCTTTTATTTATTTATGCTTTATTGCTTTTTATTCTGCTAATTTAAGCAATTGAAAGTAGCTTCATACTTTTTTTAAAAACAATAACCCAAACTACCGTTTCCCCCAAAATAAGACATCCCCTGATAATAAGCCCAAAAGCCCAATTGAGCGCATGGCAATAAGGCCAAGCACTTATTTCAGGATTCAAATAAATATAAAACAGAGTCTTATTTTTGGGGAAATATGGTACCTAGAAAATAAAAGATGTTACTAAATAATGTAAGATGAGGAAGTAACATACCTCTGTTCCTCTGGATGGTGTTGGTTCCACCATGGAGGGGGTCTCTCTGGAAACTGATTCTGTGGCATGTTCCAAGTATCCATCCAAAAGTTTTCATTGGGTATATTCTGGGCAATTAAAAAATAAGTATTATTCACAATTGTGACTAATCTAGAAATCCTTTAACAGGTAACAAAAGTCATATTATTGACAGAAAGGCAGATTATTATTTCTGGTTGTGCAACAAAGTCATCTTTGCATGACAATATTATGGCACAATGCAAATATTCAATAAGCAAAGCTGATTTCTGTTCAACATTGTTTGGTCAGACTCTGCATTTTTGTAAAACCAAGGAAAACCTGCCTAGAAAACTTTGGTAATTCCGAATTGATATAGGAAATGGCTTTCCTCTCCACTTATCACAGCACAAGTAAAAAAAATTCTTAACCCTAGAAAACTCCACAATGCCTTAATATGGCCTCCAATCAAACATCTAGTCACTACAGAGCTGAGGTGGCACAGTGATTAGTCAGTGGTGGGTTTCAAATTTTTATACTACCGGTTCTGTGGGCGTGGCTTGGTGGGCATGGCAGGGGAAGGCTACTGTAAAATCTCCATCCCACCCCACTCTAGGGGAAGGATACTGTAAAATCTCCATTCCCTCCCCAATCCAAGGGAGGGTTACTGCAAAATCCCCATTTCTTCCCGATCAGCTGGGACTTGGGAGGCAGAGAATAGATGGGGGTGGGGCCAGTCAGAATTTTTACTACCGGTTCTCCAAACTACTCAAAATTTCTGCTACCGGTTCTCCAGAATTGGTCAGAACCTGCTGAAACCCACCTCTGATTAGAGTGCAGTACTGCAGGCTACTTCAGCTGACTGCTAGCTGCAGTTCGGCAGTTCAAGTCTCACCAGGCTCAAGGTTGGACTCATCCTTTCATCCTTCTGAGGGGGGTAAAATGAGGACCCAAATTGTTGGGGGCATTATGGTGACTCTGTAAACCACTTAGAGAGGGCTGTAAAAGCACTATGAAGCTGTATACAAGTCTAAATGCTATTGCTATTGCTATAAGCAAAAAGTCCATAGTTTAAGCAATTAAACTAAGTTATCTGTGAAAACCTAGTTTGAATTTTTAAAATTTTCCCAGAACTTTAATCATATAGATCTGTTGATGAATTTGAAATAAATTGATCCAGAAGACATTTATTGATCCAATAAATTGTTCAGAAGACATTGTAATTATGCATCATTTGCTGGGAAAAATTGCCAGAAGATTCTCTAGTTATGTGTATATAAGAACATAACTGAAATTCCATTTCATATCTGAAGCCTATGTGGCATAACAAGAAGCATATTCTCTACTCCCACTATTTCAAAAAGATAGGAGAAGACCACATAAAAGAGAGGAATGTATAGTACAACTGTATTCATATTAATATAAAAGCAAGTTGAATTCCAGAAACAATTTTCTCTTTGCTAAGCAGAGAGAAAACAGCAGTGGAGCTGTTGTGGCTATAGTTTTTATCAACAGCACAGCTTGACACAGGGTGGTACACCCACATATTTTATCTAAATCTGAAACAACCTTGAGAAGAGGTAATGTTTATCTTATGTTGCTGTCTCCTCCCACAGTGTTTTTAAAAGGAGCCAGAAGCACTCCAAAACATTAAATAAAAAAGCACTTGCTATTACAAAATAGCAGTATTATTACAGATTTATACTGTACATGACCTTTAATTTGTAGAACTCAAGTGGATACATTGTATATAATATTGCCATCTCACTCTTTTCTCTATTATACAACCTATGAAGTGGGTTGGGCTGGAGAGAGTGACTGGCCCAAAGTTATCCAGCTGTTTTATATATAAGACCGCTGGATAACTTTGGGCTAGTCACTCTCTCCAGCCCAATCCACTTCATAGGTTGTATAATAAGCCAGAATTGCTGAAAATAATTTCTTGGAACTACTGAACTATCATGCAGATGCATTCTACGAAAATTGGTACACACCTGTAGTAAATTACAACATATAAAAAATACAGAGTTTTCATACTATATCTCAGCTTAGATTCTGAGAGCTTTCTCCTCTAATAGGTTGAATTTCAGAAGCCAAATCAACAAAATATGTCAGATTCAAAATAAATGGATTTGACGTTATTTTCATGACTATTCTGAATCTCTGATATGATGTTGAAAATCTGCTCAAAACATTCTCTATAGGAAAACTCAAAGTGGTGGGGAGGAGAGAAAGCATCTTAAAATGTTGAACAAATCCCTTGTTCCACCAAATGTTAGAATAGTGATAGAGAGTGTAAGAAAAGATAAAAAGTTACTCTTTTATAGAATGTATTAATTGCATAAAAGAAATTATAAAGGCTCTATTGCAAAGCCTCAGTAACAAGGCAAAGGAAAAGCCACAAATGGAAAAAGGTTAATTATTATGTGGCAGCTTGACCAAAATGTTCAAGAAAGCTCACCCACAAAGGGTGAGAGAAATAATATGCATCCTGTTGTAAATTAGCAAAAGCAATCACTGCAAAACACAGGAAATTGGAAATCAGTAAATAAAAGAAGCCATAACCAAAAGGAATCATGTTGGACACGTACGCAGGATGTAAACAGGCAGGAACTGGGGGGAAGGAGGTATGATGTATACTGGGGGGAAAGGTATAAAAGTATTGTTTGAAACTTTGAAAAGCTCGCTTCATGATCTCAATCCAACTTGGGAAGTGACATGGAGGCCTGCCTTTGCAAACGCATTCCAATAAATTCTCTTGGTTTGTACATCAGAGTTGTCTATCGAATTAGTGAGTATAAATTTTTTTTTAGTGTTTAAATCTCACAGGAGTCTCTGAGCCTCAACTAAATCCTCTCCTCTCCTCTCCCCACTCTCTTCTCTACCAGCTGTCCCTCTCTGTTTCCTTTACTTTCTCCCCTCCCTCTTAAAGAAAAAAGTTGAAGCCCAAGAAAATAATGCATTCATCTCTGACTTCTGCCATTTCAAATAGCAGAGGCCTTCTCCATGGCAGAACAACCAGTTTCATATATTTTGACACTGACTGCTCTCACATACAAGTAATCCTCAACTTATGACCACAATTGAGACTAGAATGTCCATTTTGTCCATTTCTAAGCAAGGCGGTTGTTAAATCAGTCATGCCCAATTTTACAACCTTTTTTGCCTTAATTGTTAAGCAAATGGTTGCAGTTGTTAAGTGATCATATGGTCACTAAACAAATTCAGATTCTCCAAATTATTTTGCTTGTCAGAAGCTGGCTGGAAAAGTTTCAAACGGCCATCATATGACCGGGGATGCTGCAACCCTGGTAAATACATGGCTGGTTGCCAAGTGTCCAAATGGGAAAGCTGCAATGCTTGTAAGTGAAAGACCAGTTGTAAGTCATTTCTTTTCAATGCTCTTGTAACTTCAAAAGGTCACTAAACAAAAGGTTGTAAATCGAGGATAATCTGTATAGGCTCTTTCTCCTCTTTGCCTTTGATCTCTCTATCACACACCTATTCTCCTCTTCTGGTGTTGATCTTCTTCTCTTATGCATTCATCCATTCCTCTCTTGACCACAGTTCATTTACACCTGCAGCATGTTCCCTTTCTTCTTCTGTTTTATAGATGGCATTTAGCACCAGTGAGATTGGCAAAAACGTATTCCAGCCTATCATCTAAATGTTGGAGATGTGGCCATAAATTAGGAACATACTACCACATGTGGTGGATGTGCCCCAGTATTAAAAATTTTTGGTATAAAATCAGAAGGGGGTTAGAAGAGATTACACTTGAAACTCTGATTTCAAACCAGAGTTGTTTCTTCTAGGAATGATTGATAAGAAAATGGAGAAAAGTTTGTGCTACATACCTTTGCATATCCAGCATCACATTAATTTCCTCAAATTTTCAGCCACAGTATTGAGGTTCTAGACATCATTCTTTTCATTTTGTTCATAAAAAATAATTTTATAAAACAGTACACTTTTTGAACCAGATTATTTTCTGAAGAAAAATAACCTTTATTCTCCAAGAATTATTTTTGTGTTTTTGTGTGTATCCATGTGTGTGTGTGTGTGTGTGTTTCTCTGATGTCTGTAATAAGAAACTAGAGCTGAGAGTTGGGAACAGAAAAAAACTTACATTTTGGTGAAACCACTGATCATGGCATCTTCTGGGGAAGCTCTGCCTTCGTGGGAAAAAACCACTGCCCATATTTCAAGGCCTGTGTGGAATTAAAAATAATAAAGTATATCGGCATTATATTTAGATACATTCTGTTTAGAAATCTTCTAAACAGAAATGCACAGAAATTTATGGCTAATGTCACTATGCAAATCTCTTTCCACAGCAGTGTTTCTCAAACATTCTGTAATGGTCCAATAAACATTCAAAAAATAGGGGACACCCTCCCCCCGATTACACAATTATCCATCTCCCCACATATTGTCCTTAAGAGCAGGGATCATACTTTTTGGCAAATAATGTATGCCCTGACATCTTCTCCATCTTAAGAGGCTTTTTTAAATTAAATTTTATACCAAAACAATCAATTCAAAATTAAATTATAATCAAATTACTATTATTTATCATTGTGCGATACCTTGAGCTCATTATATACACATACCCATGCATTTAATGTGTTTAGTATTTTGTGCTCAAATACCACCACACTTAGACAGTACTCATGATAGTGTGGGAAGTCCTCGCTCCAAGAAGAATGAAATATTTTGGGAAATATTTAAAAAGGCAGAATATTATATTTCCCTAAAGAAGAAATGGAGAAACTTGTTTTTAGAGGCAGAAAGCAGCCCCCAGTCTTTCTTAATAGCCCACAGCAGATGCCAGCAATTAAAGAGATAAAGAGCTTATTGAAAGAGGAAGCAAACTATCTAGATGGTTCCATTCATAAGGAAAGCAAATATTGCAGGCAGAAATCCATTCAAGACAGGATATTTCAAAACTCCTTGCAGCAAAGTTTGACAGCTAACATAAGCAGAATGGTAGGATTAGAACGAGCAGCCCCTCGCCCAAGATCCAACACAGCCATTAGCCGCAATAGGAATTGCCCAACACCCTTTCAGAACACAAACTCCTTCATTGCACAATCTCCAGAACAGTTCAAACTTCAAAGTCCAGAAACCTATAATGATCCATCCACTAATTATTCAACCATTTGGTCTGCTGCCCCAGAACCACAAACTCTGGTGGTTCTGTTCATCAATAAACAAGTAGAAAAACATGATAAAAACAGAAAAAAATAAAAATGCAAAGCCATCATAACTACCACATATACATTTTGGATTATTAAGATGGCCCCACTATTAGCATCCCAAAGAATCTAAGAGTTTTCCAGTTGTGTAATCAATTTTGACTGGGGATTGCCAAATACAGATTATTATAATTATTTGCAGAGAAGGTGGAAATATATGCAGGAAATGATGCTGTTTGTCTAATGGATATATGTATCCCTGAATGGAGCAACCCATTTCACATTTTACAATTTTGGTAAATAAGGTATGAGAATGAAGATACAACTACAAACAGCCTTCAATGAGAACTACTAAAACTCCAGCACATAGCCACACTGAATTGTTGTCCATAGAGTTTCAATGTATAAAATGGCCACAACTGAGCTTATGCTTAAGAAAATCACAGCAGCAATACCATTTTTTCTATGGATTTCATGGTAGTGCATATTGCTGGTCATTTTTCATTTGATTATGTAATTAAAAAGCTGTATACATACATGCACCCTGGTATGCAGCAATTCATCAATTTTACATGAAGATGAATCAGGGTTTTGGTGGAAATCAAAATACAGGCAGTCCACATTTAGTGACCACAATTTAGGCCAGCAACTCAATTATTAAGCAAAGAGGTCACTAAATGAAACCACTACTTACAATCTTGATTCAGCTTTCCTTTGCTTTACAGATTTGCAAAGGTTATAAATGCAAGAACTGGAGGCAAGGTTATTTTTTCATCAAAGCTCACTTTTTGTTGTAATTGTGAATAGTTGTTATATGAGGTATTCATTAAGCAAGACTATTTGTGTAGATTTATAAAACTTGCCTTGAAACTTAATGTGTACAGGTAGAAGGAATTTATAAAATCTTATGCGCAAAGGGAAAACGGACTTTATTATTTTACTTCTTTGCCATTTCTTTGAAGTAACTGTATTTTCACAGACCCTTTTCATAGACAGTCTATCTATCCACAGGTAGTCAAATATCATTATATTGCACCCTGCTGCAAGTTCTCATTTACATGTATGCTAACGGTAACAGAATTATGGTCACTGGTTCTTAATAGTTCCCCAAGCCTTGCAACTTGTTCACCATTTAAGAATAAATCTAGAGTCCCTTCTTCCCTGCTCAGTTCCAACAAAAAATGTTTAAAGCACAGTCACTTAGGATGCATAGAAATTTGGCTTCTTTTTGTATTCTTTGCATGAAAATACCTACTGGTAGTTTACATGAAGATAAGTGATGACTACCCCATTATTAAAGTAACATTTCCTTTCCATTCTCTATTTCACTGTGTCAAGATCACTATTATCATTTTAATCAAGTGGACAATAGAACTTCCTTAAATCTATTTTACATTTGTGGCAGAATGAAGGAATTTGGTCTTCCAAAGTTTCTAATGAGTTAGATCTTATAATCTCTTTGATATAAATAACAAACCTTCTTCAGTGCATACAAGACTTTTCTTTACATTCCACAATTCCCTCCCTTGCATTCCAAATCTACCCATCCCCCTCCGTTTCTGTTGTCTGCTTGTGAGGGGTGTGTGTGTGTGTGTGTGTGTAATGAGTCAAAGCATGACACAATGCTTGTATCCAAGAATGATTATGTCCTACTGGTTATTTCCATTCCATCAGTTTTCCATCATATATTCCTGCTCATAGCCAAACACTGTAATTACTTAGCAACGATGCTGTCACACATGTACATGGTGCACATTCAAATATTGCTGGTGTTTTATTCACAGCCTTTCTTACATTGTCATAGACACTGAAAACCAATTGTTTTCTGTACTGAATACTTAGTGAAACACTTAACAACTGATCAAGTTCAAGGTTACCAGGGAAAGAAACAGATACTTCTATGCTCACACTCAACTATTACGTTTGGCATCATTTTTATTTGTTGAAACATTATCTAGCAGCTAGATAATACATTATAGTGCTAGTCAAAGCTATCTCTGTGAATATTTTGCCAAATCCTGTCTTCAGACTTGTATAAAATCAGGTCTGAGTTTTTCTGATAATTTCTGGCATCCATTAACCTACTTCCAATATTAGCCTTCTCCCTTATGGTACTTTCCAAAATATCTACACAACCGAAACTGGATGCTGCCTAGCACTTTTGATGTTATGCACCAGCAACTGTTTGTATTTAAGTTCAGGTGGACACCATATAAATGGCTTCCTGGCTGGCTTCTGACAAGCAAAGTCAACGAGGGAAGCTGGATTCGTTTAATGACTGTGTGATTCACTTAATGACTGCAGTGATTTTCTTACCAACTATGTCAGAAAATGGTCATAGCAGTGAAAACTCTGGTCCCAATTGTGGTTGTAAATTGAGGATTACTTGTACTATTTCTTCAATGTCTTGAAACCTCTAAGATCTGTCTGTCCATCTAACCAGTTGAGATTAAGGAAAATGCAGCATTTCTGAAAATACCACCTACTTGCATTTGGGTTTCAGAACTAATTTTCCAAATGTCTCTGATGCCAACATACACCAGAATTGATGCTCCTCCCTGATACTATCAAGCTATTTTCCTAGTTAATAAACCAAACTGTAACTATATAAATATTCCTGCCTATGGAGGAAGCTTTATGTCAGAAGGACCAACACTGAAAAGATGACATGCCTGAGTGAATGTGCAGACTTTAGACAATCTAAGTAAAAACTATTTGCAAAAGTAATTATTATTCTACAGTATGCAGTAGGAAATATAAAGCTTACTTAAGCATTCCATGAACAAGTTTTATCACTCTGCTGAAACTGATTTGACTATTTAGGAGGGCACTGGAAGGCTTGCCTAAATGGACTAGAAATATTTTAAAAAAGACTACATTGGGGAGTTAAATGCTTAAATTTGAAATTACAAATAGAAATATAGAACCGACTTAGAACAGATAGCTTGTTTTCATATATTCTACAACAGCAAGGATTCTTAAAACAATTCAAAAAACTTTTCATCCAGATTAGAAAATCCATAATAATGTGAATAAAATAGGAATCATACAGAGTCAGCTACATGAACTCTAAAGGACCCTCTCTATTCACATTATTGTAAGAGAGAAAAGTGCTTGCTTGGAGATTATATTAAAAATCAGCTAAACTCCATTAAGTGGTAATGTATCTTCTGATGAGGCCTAGCTGTCACGGAAGGACAGCCATATGGAAAACATTTGAGGGGCCTCACTGTCAAAGACAAGGACATATATGTTACAAAGAGTTACTTAATCCAATAAATTTACCTAAGAACAGCAATAAATCTCCCATTAGCAACCATAGCACTTAAGGAAAAGTTGTGTAGCTAAAATAATCTTATAAACTAGCAAGTAATGGTTTAGTAATTAGGATGTACAAATTATCAAATGTATGTTAATCATATATGGAAAATGCATGAGCTCAGCGAATCCTTTGTCTTGGATATGTATAAAAACAGTTCTATCAGAGCTCTTTCTTGGTTCAAAGTTTCAGATACAAATCTGGCTCTGAATCTGCGCAATAAACTGACTCTGGCTGACCCAGGAATGTTGTTCAGTCTCAATTTTTCCACAACAATTAAAAATGAATATAATTTAGTAACTCTACTTGGTATTATATCTAATTATATCTAATAATACCAAATATAAGCAAAATAAAAAGTGACAAAAGGTGAGAGAAGTCCTTTAGGGAAAAAAAGTCACTACTATAGGCTAACAGCTATAGAAATCAAGTAGATTACCATACATCTCATTTATAAAAGAAAAAAAATGTGATATGCCACCATCTGGTGAAGATCTTGGAAATAAAACTGAAGCAATTCACACTTTCACTTAAGAGGAACTTCGATAGGATAAGAAAAGCAAATATAATCTAAACATGTTAACACAATACTTATGTGAGATTTAAATTTATCAGTTTGAATCAACAGAAGACTCTGTGAACAACACAACAGCTTTATTTGAACTTTTGCAAAAGTTGGCCTTCTGTGCTCATGTGGGTAGAGCCACAGAAGAGCAATGATACAAATGAATACAGGAATAAATACAGTTCCAATAAAAACCCACCCATCACTGCCCTTTATCACTATTGGTCAATTTAGGTCAGTTGAGTTTGGGCTGCACAATCCTGACAGATGGTTTCCGGGACATGCTATTCCCCCTGACAGTTGTTATATCTTGATCATAACAACACGTAATTTTAGCATGACAACTTGCTTTCCTGCCAATGTTAGCATGACCTGACCTGGAATGTACTAATAAATGTATGGCTTTGGTATTTTCCTAAAACTCTCATTCTTATGTCTCACAGCTGGTGTCCCATACAGAGGATAAATATGGCGTTACTATTGCTCTCTTCTTTACAGAAATAATTCTCATTTCTCTCACTCGGGAGTGGAAATATCCAATATTAACGTTTCAGCACAAAAGTTACTCAGTTATCTTTCTAAATGCACATTGTTTCTCAAGACCTTTTTTTTAAAAAAAGGATTCGTGCTAGAAGGCTAAAAGTGTATTTTCAAAAGCAAGAGCCAGGCAGTCAGTCTTTAAAGGGAAGGAAATGGTGTAAAAATACAAAGATAATGTTATATACTTTCTTCTTTCTTTATATTTTTTTTACCTGTCCCCCTTTTTTTTCCTCTGCATTTCTTTTTTTTTTTAAAGTTTGTATTAGGTTTTTATTTTCATTTTAAACTTTTAATAAAAATTATTTTAAAAGCGAGGCAAATTGTAAGGAGAAAAGGGGTGAGGGAGCTAATAACGCTAAAACTCAAAGAAAACTAACAGCGGAAACATAGAGACAGACCATCTCTAACACACTTTTTCTCAAGATTATGCTCTGAGGATGACTAAATAGTTTTCTCCACCGCGGTGTCCTGAAACCTCTAGTAGCTAACAACTAGGAATTTACATTCACACCTTCCACTTTAAGGACTCTAAATAATGGAAGCTGTTTACAAACTAGTTCTTAAAACCTATTATAGGAGGCAGCCCCTTATTCCCAAGAAGTGACAGGGTAGCCACGAGCTGCCTGCTTAAAAATAGTCGCCATCCACGCGTGAACTGTTGCATCGACCTCACGGTGCGCAGAAGGCACAACTCAGCATGGTTCCGGATTCACCGTCCGCGACACAACAGAGGCGTAAACAAATATCAATCTTTCCCCCCTCTCCCCACCCCAGACTATGGTGTTTCTCAACTCATTCTGAAATAGGGCCGAAGCAATAAGCAACACTTCTCGTGCACAAGTAGACCCGTAATTTATACTCTTTCTGATCGCCAAAGTGAAAATCTGTTTTAAGAGTATCTTCAAAATAGTCGGAAGAAGGAAAAGAGAAATCAAGAAATAATTACAGTAATAACAAGGCTATTACAGCAACTCCTAAAAATTATACGACATTCTAGAACATGTGTTTAATTATAAATATAATTAAACCACTCTTGAGAAAGCCTGCTCTTCCCCCTACCCTCATTCTCCCCTACCGGCTTATATTACACAAAGTCAACAGACTGACCTTGCTTCAGAATCTTGTATAGTCATGGTTTTAAATAATGCGCAATATTCCACAGCAGTTACTTTGGTTTCAGGTCAGTCTTGCTTCCTCATCGTTTGCCCAGATACCTAAGAAAACCAGTCTTGGAAAACTTACCAAGCCAGCATCTACTTCGGCTTTGCTTTAAAACAGGGATCCAGTCCAATTTGACCGCTCACCAGAAACGTTGAGGGCTGACTGGAGTTTTATTAAAGATCAGACTTGAGGTGCGGGCTGATAACCTTGAAGTCTCCACCCACAGGCTCAGAGGGAAAGCGCAGTCGAGTAACGCGGAAAATAAAGATATTGGACTGTTGGAAGATATGAGAAACTCAATATTAAAAGAGCAGGGAAATTCCCCTAAAAGAAATAAGCAGAAACCCAGGCAGAGTTTCAGCCCCCACCTTTATCAATGGGCCATTAAGAAACTGAAGCCACCCTATTTTCCACAACAAAGGAAGGACAACATTCCAGGGGCCTGCAACATCCAAACAGATATATGGGACACAGGAAAGAAAAACAAATACCCAAAAAGGAAAAGAAATCAAGCCAAAGTAATTTAAACACATGAGAAAAAGGAGAAAACACAGAAATAGCAAGCTGAATAATTATAGGGAACGAACAACTACAAAGGGCTGGGAAAAACAGAGAGTGGACTATAAAACAATTATTTATTTGCCAGATCCAGGACGGAAGAACCCAATCACAAACAAAAACAGGATTTCAACACCATAAAACAATCACACACACAAATCAAAGGATTCACACGCCAAATCAAAAGAATTTCAAAAGACTTTAAAGGGTCACATAGAAAACGCTCTGCTTGTATTTGTTTCTTGCCTGCCTTCCTATAAACAATAAACTAATTCTGCTCTCAAGCAGCTGACCTCCAATCATTGGCGAAGTAATCTCCCAGCCGGAGTTTTGAATTTAAGAAGGGAAAGCTCTGCCTTCTGACAATCCTTAAAGGGAAAGGCTACTTTTTCCTTCCAACAGGACCAAGCAACAACCTCTCTTAAGACGCGCTTCTTTTCGCCTTTGCACTGGCAGGCAGGAAAGCGGCGCACAAGAACGCCCGCATTTTCGAGAGCAAGGAGGGACCAAACGTTCATGCAGACGTTTCCTTTGGCAATTGGCCAGGAAAATGAGACCTATGAGTTAACAGGATAGGATGAAAAAGAACCGGAGGGGCCAAATGTATTTTTCTCTCTCTTATAACAAAAATGCATGTAGAATGTTAGCCCATTAATTCACATAGAGTGTAGTATTAGCATTATGCCAAATGCATGAAGGGTTGTGGGGGTATAAGATAATAAGTTGTAATTTTCCATTTAATACTGTATTTTATAATTTATATGGGGTTTCTCCTTTGGTCAAATTATCTAGAGTTAGTACCTTAACATACAGCCACACTGCTACATATCCAAAGTACAATCATGATTAAATTTTCTTTTCAATTGTATACATTGTAGATACCACCTTATCTTTAGCTGTTCTTAAATTCCCAGTAACAAAGAAAATAGTTAAGTCTAACCTTGAGAAGGCTGAGAAGGTATCTAACCCAAACCCACTTTGATATTTTTCTTCCTCAAATGTTTCTTTCATTTGAGCAATGTTATTTTCTATTGCTATGTTGCAATTCTTATGAAATGTATGAAAAAAGTGAGGCATGTGATGTGGGGAGGTGTGAATGCTTAGCAAGTTTAGGTGACAATAAGAGCTTAACTAATGTTGAAGAAAAATCCATCTGGTTCAGTTCCAAGCGGGGAGAAAGGCACTTGAAACAAAATGGAAGCCGGAGGCTGATTGAAAAGAAGGTCCATTTATTGGTGAACAGAACCACCAGGGTTTGTGGTTCTGGTGCAGCTGACAAAATGTAGTTGACAGTGGGGGTTTTTTATACCTTCTTTGGGCTTTGTATTTGAGCTTCTTGTTCCTGTGCAAGAACATGTCCTTTAATATTCTATTGGCTGTTGTCAGATTCCTATGGGGTCATGTAGGGGTCATAGCTGGCTCTATAAGCAAAAGAGGAAATGCAAATCCTATGTGTTTGTCTGAGCTAATCTGGTCAACCTCTGGCTTATTGTTTATCTGAGCACCCAGGTTTCTGTGACTTTGAAGTTTGGACTGCTCTGGGGGTGGTGCAATAAGGGGTTTGTATTCTGAAAGGGTGTTGGGCAATACCTATTGTGGCTAATGGCTTTTGTCCTGTGTTGGATCTTGGGTGAGGGGCTGCTTTCTAATCCTACCATTCTGCTTTTATTAGCTGTCAAACTTTGCTGCAAGCAGTTTTGAAATATCCTGTCTTGAATGGATTTATGCCTGCAGTATTTGCTTTGCTTATGAATTGAGCCATCTAGATAGTTGGCTTAGTCTTTCAATAAGTTCTTTATCTCTTAAGTGTTGGCATCTGCAGTGGGCTATTAAGAAAGACTTGGGGACTGCTTCCTGACCCTAAAAACATGTTTCTCTATTTCTCCTTCAGGTAAATATAATATTCTGCCTTTTTAAATATTTCCCAAAATATGTCACTCTTCTGGAAGGGGGGGGGGAGGCTTCCCACACTAACTTTAAACATTTAGGTGTGATAGTAATTTATAGGTGGTCGGAAGGCATGTGACCAAACTGGGCCTGCAAAGGAATGATGTGGAGTAAGCTGACAGGCATAGGATGATTATAAAAGTATGCTTTTTCATTACTTGGGGTGGTCTCTTACCTGTGCGTATTGAGATCCACCAGCCTTTGCAAACAGTTCAATAAAATTGTTTTGTATGCCAATAACTTCAAAGTTGAGTTTTACTAAAATAAGATATTGAATTTAGCAGTTGGAACAGGTAAAATGTGTAATAGGCCAGAACACACAGTTGTAGCTGATTAGTTAGTGTGAGAAACACACTCTCTCGGCTTGTCCACCCAACCGCTCTGGAAGCTGAGGTAGGCAAATCCTTGGTTCGAACCAATGTTTGATACTAATGGGCCTGAAACCGGAGCTGGTTCCCCTTTGTCAGCTAGATAAATTGCTGTATTAGCAAGAATGTATTTTTGTCTTCATGACCCAGACAGATGCATCCTGTTGTTCTCTGGGAACTGCTGTCTCAAGATGTCACATGCCAGACTTAGATAATGTATGTTACTCCCTTGCTGTATTATCTCAACTCCCATGTCTGGAAGGAACAGTTTAATTCCTTATATTACCTTATATGTCTATATAGAAACTGTTACGCATTAAACACTATATAAGCCCCACTTTGTACAACCCTTCGGGGTTCAGACATTTTGCTTGCTTTTGCAATTTGAACCTGCGCAAATAAACTTTCCTACAATGAAGAGTTTGGCCTAGTCTTGTCTTTCCTACAACAAAGCAAACAGTAACCAGTCACAAATTTGACAATCATTAAGTGAAGCAACAAGCAGTTTTGTGCAAAATACGTTCTTGCAAGAGCGGGTGGCTAGTAGGCACATCCAAGAACAGATTCCAGCAACTTTTATTCCCTCCACCCAAAGCATAAGGCCCTCCCTTGCAGCCCCCTTGACCACAAGTTCACACTCTTCCCAGAACACCTAATTTTGTTGCGAACTTCCCCATTTTTATCTGTCTCCCCACCAGGGATGAAATCTAAATTTTTTTGCTACCGGTTCTGTGGGTGGGGCTTAATTAGTGGGCGGGGCTTGGTGGTAAGGTAACTGGGAGGGCGTGGCTTGTTGGTCAGGTGGACGTGGCCAAGTCAATGTCACTTCTTTGCCCTTTTTTAACCTACAAAACACAACACAACACAACACAACAGGCTCACCCACAATATAAAAGCAGCTGTGCTAGACCCAAAATGGCCCCTGCAACAAGCAGGAACCTCACACAGCCACAAAAAGCCCAAAAAACCAACTTTCACACTTTACACACACAAAATTCCACATACAGCTTTGTGAGATTTTTTGTGTTTGTGTAGTTAGAGTGAAACACTACAGAAACACACTAAATCTCAGATAGCTGCACAAATATTATTTTATTTTAATTTATTTTTATTTTTATATAAAAGCAGCTAAATTTAAAACTTCCTAAACTTTAAATGGCTAGGTCTAAAAAAAGAACAACTAAAAAAAACCCCAATTAACTATTTTTTTAAAACTCCCAAAGGGGGAAAAAACTTACCCAATAGAACATGGGTTTCCAACCTTGGCAACTTTAAGACTTGTAGACTTCAACTCCCAGAATTCCTCAGCCAGCTTTGCTTTGCTGGCTGAGGAATTCTGGGAGTTGAAGTCCACAACTCCCTGCCTGCTTGATTGCAGGCAGGGAGATTCAGTTGCTTGCTGATGCAATGGATTGCAGCAGGGATTACAGCAATGCGTTGCGACCAGCAGCTAAGGTAAGCAAGCAGAGGGGGGGAGTGGGAGGGATTTTTGCTACTGATTAGCAGTAAAAGAAAAGTTTTTTTTCTTTTACATAGCTCTGGCGATCCAAGCTGAGTTGCCTGATTAGCAGGCAACTCAGCTGGGATCGTCAGAGTTTGGTTCCTCAGAGCCATTTTAAAGAAAAAAAAAGGTTCTGATGATCACGCAGCTCAGCTGGGCATGAGGGGCGGGGGCAGGGATTTTTGCTACCAGTTCTCCGAACTGCCTGCCGCCATTGCTACCTACTCGCCCGAGCCGGTCCGAACCGGGAGCATTTCACCCCTGCTCCCCACCTTTTGTCCAGTTCCCCCCTTTTCCTTTAAACTACCTTTTGCCCTTTCAACTATAAGTTGGTTTCTTCATGCCTATGCATTTTGCTTTGTTACAGAAAAGAGACCACACCAGCTCTTTATCGAAAGGAAAGGTTTATTGCGCAAGGTTCAGCAGCGATAGCTCAAGCAAAGTCTGAACCCCAAGGGGTTTTTGCATACAGGTTTATATATTCTTTTCAGTCAGTATATTCATTTCCGGATGTATACATGATTACCATATATGGGTATGACATGCCCAGTTCCTTGGTCCTGCTGGGGTAGCCCAACAAAGGTGAGATGTCACGTATACAAAGAGCGGGGACTTAATCCCATCAGTCCTCTCATTCAACAATGTCATGTAGGCATTGAGAGCGGGGACTTAATCCCATCAGTCCACTTTATCTTAACCCACAATTCCTGTTTCTTTAGGATTTTAGTGGCATACACATAATAAATTGAGACAAGCAATTAATTTCTTCATTATGTGTAAGGTTATGTGGTTAAAACTGTTGGCTAGTCTATTTTTACAAGCTGACTTTCTTTTTAGGACCGCAGACATTTTCTGTTTTCCACTCTTGGCTTGACCTTTTTTCCTTAGTGTACCAAGACCCTATTGAACTTCTAAACATACATTCTCAAAAGGTACATCCTTTTTGCAAAAACAACACGATCTCCATTTTACATTAGAGAGTGCTAATGTAGTGCTAACATTATGCATGATGCAATCTATGCTGTGATTGGTTGCTCAAAGTATAAAGGGGGAGTTTCCCTTTTCCCCCTTCTTTTTCTGTATATTCTGTATACTGTTTTAGATTTACCTCATGGTATTCCTGTGTTCATGATATCTTATATTCTTCCATTTCTGGATGATGTCAAAGACTGCTGTAAATTTGAATATTAAATATATTTATATAAAAGACTACAAGTTTATGCCAGTGTCTCCGACTTCATCTGGAGAGCTGCTCCACAATTCTTTGACAAGAAGTATTAGTATAGCTGCTTGCTAACTGAAGCTGAGGGGACTGACCACATATAGAAAATGTTATTTTAGTGGAGGGATGTGGCTAAGGAACATTGCTAAGAAACTTTGCAAGCAAGTCTGTACCTGGAATAAAGGAAGGTGACATGATATTTACCTTAAGCTGTAGGAAAGAGGTCTGGACAAGGGTCTGGAGGTGAACAAAGTTTGTCATTAGCATGCTAGAAGCACAGCCCCCTAAATATTTAGATGAGCATTATAGAGATCATGCTAAGAATATTATGAGATGGAACATGTTACA